GTAGCTTGGAGTTTCCTCAAAAAGTTAAAAATAGAACTACCATATTATCTAGTAATTGCATTACTGGGTATTTACCCAAAGAATAGGAAAACACTAGTTTGAAAGGATATATTCATCCCTACGTTCATTGCAGCATTAAGAGAGCTAACACGTGGAAGCAACTCAAGTGTCCATTGGTAGATGATTGGATGAAAAACATGCAGTATATTTATGCAATAGAATATTACCCAGCCATAAAAAAGAATGAAATCTTGCCATTTGCAACAGCATGGATGGATCTAGAGAGTATAATATTAAGCAAAGTCAGTCAGGCAGGGAAAAGCAAATACCACACGGTTTCACTCATATGTGAAACTGAAGAAATAAAACAGCAAACAAAGGCAAAAAAAGAGTCAAACCAAGAACTAAACTCTTAACTATAGAGAACAGATGGTTCCCAAAGGAGAGGTTGGTGGGGGGGATGGATGAAATAGGTGAAGGAGAGTAAGAGTACACTTGTCATGAAGAGCACTGAGTTAATGCATAGAATTACTGAATCGCGACTGAAATCAATATAACACTCCGTTAACTATATTAGAATTAAAAATATTTTAAAAGACTCATGTTACAAAAATATTTTAATAAAATATGAAAATAATTATGCCATATCATATGTGAAAGATGAGCATAGAAAACTATTATATTTTTATAATATAAATATATTTTACAGTATAATATATAATATAATATATTTAATATATAATAGCATATTATAGTTAAATAGTTAAAGCACTAAATGAAAAGTATATATCAGGGGCACCTGGGTGGCTCAGTGGGTTAGAGCCTCTGCCTTTGGCTCAGGTCATGATCTCAGGGTCCTGGGATCGAGCCCCACACTGGGCTCTCTGCTCGGCTGGGAGCCTGCTTCCTCCTCTCTCTCTGCCTGCCTCTGTGCCTACTTGTGATCTCCGTCAAATAAATAAATAAAATCTTTAAAAAAAAAAAAAAGCAAAGTATATATCAAAGTGTTGACAGTATATACTTCTGGGGAGTATTTGTACTGATGTTGTTGTTTTTCTACTTCATTATACTTTTTTGTAACTTCCAAATATTCCAAAATGCACATCTAGCATTTTTATAATGTTTAAATCCAAGATTAAGAAAACTTTCTCAATAAATTGGAAGGAACTTCACTCAGCCGTAAATCGTTCAGTTGTACTGGGCCTCTCCCTCTTTGAAATGAGTCCTTATCTCATCTTTCTAGTGGGCACTGTTAAGTTATTTCTGGCCAGCAGACACTGGATCAAATTGAAAGGGAAAAGTGCAGGTTCATCTGACAACAAAACTCAAACATTTGACCATAGTTCTCAAAAAGCAGTTGACATTCCATGTCTGAGATCTTTAAGTGTGTTAGAAATGTTTAAGAGTAACTTGTCCCGTGGAAAATTGCTAACTCAAAGTCCAATATTTAAAAGGTTGGAAGAGCCCCTCAAACTAATGGGCAGTTCTCAGACTGCCCTGGTTTGGTCAAACAGGAATACTCTGGCAAAGACTGCCCAATAGGGGATTCCCATGCTGGGCAGAAATGGCCCAAACCCAGTACCTCTGCTGAGCTCAGTCAGTGGCTATGAGCAGCTGAGATGTGGGGGGGACGGGAGCGCTGGTGGGGTTGGGGGCGGTGATTCACACCTCATCATCAACACTGTGGTCAATCCCACCAGCCAGCTAAGGGACATTGGAGTGGGGCACCTCTTGGATACCATAGTAATGTATTTAAAGTATGTTCTCCTCAAAGTCTCCTTCTCACCATCGAAATAAAAACAAAATCAAACACCATCTCCATAAAACAACAAGGGGTAGGCTGTTTATATCTAGAGAAAATATTGAGCTTTCCTTTAAATGGAATTGTAGAAGAATTCAGTACCTAGGATGGTTCCTAAGCGCATTACATGTACCCCTGAGATTTGTTGACTAGCTTGTTATTTGATCCTTTTTTTTTAGTATAGTTGACACACAATGTTACATTATTTGCAGCTGTCCAACCTAGTGATTTGATGAGTTTATACATGAGACTATGCTCACCACAAGTAAAGCTGCTGTCTGTTTCATTACATCACTATCACAGTATCATTGACTGCATTCCTTATACTCATTCCATAACTGGAGGCCTGTATCTCCTTCTCCACTTCACCCATTTTGCCCACACCCACCCCCAGCAACCATCGGTTTGTTCTCTCTATATATAGTTCTGATTCTGGTTTTTGTTTATTTTTTAATTCCATTTATGAGAATCATATGGTATTTGTCTTTCTCAGCCTGACTTGCTTTACTTCGCATAATACCCTCTAGAGCCATCCATGTCGTCTCAAATGACACGACCTCTTCCCTTTTTATGGCTGTATAATATTCCATTATGTGTATATACCACATTTTTCTTATCCATTTATCTACTGATGGACACTTAGGTTGTTTCCATGGCTATTGTTAATAATGCTGAAATAAACACAGGGGTGCATATACTTTGAGTTCGTGTTTTCGTTTTCCCTGGGTAAATACCCAATAGTGGAATTACCGGATCCTATAGTATTTCTATGATTCTTTTCCTCTTATGAGGCATAATGATAGGCTGTTCTTAATTAAAGCCAGATACTTATTTTTTTTTAAGATTTTATTTATTTGATAAAGAGAGCACAAGCAGGGAGAGCAGCAGACGACGAGGGAGGTGCAGACTCACCTCTGAGTGGGGAGCCCGATGCAGAATTCAATCCCAGGGCCCTGGGATCATAATCGGAGGAAGGCAGATGCTCAACTGACTGACACCCAAGTGCCCCTAAAGCCAGATACTTTAGATTTGATATTTCTAATCCTTATAAAAACCCTACAATTCGGACATTGTTAGGTGTTGTTACAAGCTGATACACTGAAGCTCAGCGAGGTTAAGAACTTGACCAGGTCATACAGCTAGTAAGCAGTGGTTCTGGGTTCAAACCTAGTCCTGCTCCAAACCGCAAGTCTTCAACCCCAGCTAACCATCAGAATCACCCACAGAAATTTAATATATTCAGATGGTCAGGCTGCCCATCAGACTGATTAAATCACTATTTCTGGAGATGGGCCTAGACACTTCTATTCTTTAAAAAAGCTTTTACATGTGGGAATTTCTATTGTTTCCAAGGTTGAGCTGCCCTGATTTATACCAACCCCTTCTCTTATTACAGATTGGGTAACTAAGTCTCAGAGCGGGGAGATTATCAGATTCCAAATTCCACAGCTCAAAGTGTCTGAAACAGAGCACAAATGAAGATTTTCCTAATTCCATGTTACCCTCTTGACCATTACGTGACCATTCTCCCGCTTATCCCTGGCACCACGTGGACAAAGGGGGGGAGGGCCAGGCTGTGCCCATATGACGGTTCTTGTCTGCCCCCTGGTGGGTTAACACCATAAGGAGCCACGGTCTTGGGCAGTACTTTAGTTGGAAAAGAGGAAGGAGCTCTCCAGGTTTCTGTATTGCTAATCTGAACGCCCTGTGTTGATTTATATAAGGCAGCGGCTAGGTCGATGGCATTTTTCAAAATCCCTGCACTTGGAAAGAAGGAAACAACAGCATCAAAACAAAAACACAACCTCTCTGGACCGGTACAGTGCCTTGCCTCCAAAGACTTTTATGTAACTCCAACTTGAAATCGCATGAGACGCTTCCTCATCCAAGAACTCAGGAAGAAATTTTTAAGTTCTTATAGAATCTGTTATTAAGGCAGTAGGCTGTGGTTCATCTCAGATTTTGGAGTCCAACATACCTCAGGACAAATTCTAGCTCTACAATTTATGGATTTTATAAGCTTTGGTGAGCCCCATGGTTATCTTCAGTCCTCAGTTTTATCCCCTGTAAAATGGTCATTCTAGCGCCTGATGGATAAACTGTTATGGAGAGTAAAGATCTATGTAAAGCCTTTGGCTCTGGGCCTGCAGGGTCCTAACCTCCACCGTCAAGCCCTGCAAAGGGTGAGTACCGCTATCACTGAAACTGACCCAGGGTGGGCACCTTTTGACCAGTCCTGGGGAGAACTCCCAAGGAGGAAACAGTGTTCTCAGGGCCATCTCATGGGATCTCACACCTCAGAGAGAACCCGCCGCCCTCCTCCCCTGCATGAAAGTATTGTTTCCAGAGTCCTGTTTCATTCCTGGGGCATTCTCATGTATAAAGGACGAGAAGATAAGAAGCCAGCAAAGGAGACAGAGGGAGACTGAGGGACTGACACAGTAGAAGAGAAACCGGGAGAGCATGTCCTCCTAGAGGCCACTGGAGTGTCGAGGGTGGAGGAAATAACCAACCAGGTCAAATGCTGGGATCCCTTAGGAAGGCAAGGCCTGAGAACTGACAATCCGGTTTGACAAAGTGGAGGTAAAAGCTTTGTTGCCGTAGTGGGTGTGGTGAATTCTGACTGGAGTAAGGAATTTGGTAGATCAGGCATCAACTACTCTCTGAGAACTTTTTCTACAAAGAGGAGCAAAGAAATGAGGTGGTCACTGGAGGAGGAAGAAGTTTCGTCTTCAAGATGGGAGGAGTAACAGCATAGGGGCGATGGTGCCGGCAATGATCCAGTGTGAGGGAGGAACGGCTGCCGCAGGAGGGAGAGGGAGAATTCCCAGAGGAGTGGGATTTGGTACCTGCAGGAGCAGTGACAGGGTTCATTTATGATGACAGGGGTTGGGGGCAGTGGGGGGGTGTGTGGGGGCGGTCCACACACAGCTGCCCTGCAGTGGGGGCAGGGGACGGGGCCTGGGCCAGCCCTCTTCTTTTGGAATCTGTTTTCTCAGTGTGGTGGGAGGCAAGGTCATCAATGAGAGCACCTGCTTCTAAGTGAGATCAAGCACCTTCCAGAGAGCAGGAGATGTGCTCCGGTTCCGAAACATCGCTCAGAGGGTGGTGGTGTGGTTAGTGGGTAAGTCTGTGCTGAAAACCAATCATGGGGTCTGCATGTAACTTCAACTGAAATTCAAACAACAGTAAACACATATGCAATGCTCTGAATTTTATTTTCTAATAACTATTTGAACCACTCTACAAAACGTTCTACAGTATTATTTAACAAAACGTGGGCAAATTTAAGGTGGGAATTAGACCCCATTTTCCTACCATCAAAAACACTTTTTGTTTTTAAGTGCAAACACTTATTTTCTTAGAGGATATTCAGTTTGTGGAATTACTTACAGACGATGGCACATTTTAATTCCATTTACCAGCATGGGGATTTACCAAGAGCATAAAACTCTTCAAAATAAAACACCACGCATTTCTTTTGAACGACCTCAGATTAAGCTGTGTTGGGTGTTTTTCCAAAAGTTGAAACTAAGCTCAATCTCCTTTCCCCAGTCACAGCTTTGCACCTGCGGCAGGTCTGTACAAAATCCACCCACTCCTCAGACAGCCCCTCTTGGGACGCCCGTAGTTCCCGTCATCACAGGTAGAAGAGAGAGTTGGCTAATTCCAGACTTGGTTCTTTGTGAATGTTCTGTGCTACCAGAAAGGTCAGCTTGTGCGCATACTGACAGGGGGCTGGGATGCTGATTAAGCCCTAAGGAGAAAACATATTGACAGCAATTACGAGGTTTGCCTGGTTTTTTTTTTTTTTAAGATTTTGTTTATTTATTTGACAGAGATCACAAGTAGGCAGAGAGGCAGGCAGAGAGAGAGGGAGAAGCAGACCCCCCCACTGAGCAAGGAGCCCGATGTGGGGCTCGATCCCAGGACCCTGGGATCATGACCTAAGCCGAAGGCAGAGGCTTAACCCACTGAGCCACCCAGGCGCCCCGGTTTGCCTGTTCTTTAGAGTAATCTGTGTTCCTGAGTTTTTTATCTTCTGCTAATTCCATACACAGCAGAATGCATTCGCAAGTAAACCACCTAAACTCAACCAACAAAGGGCAACCGCATCACAGGGAGCACAGACTCACCAAAGGAGATGGGGTTGGGGGCCTGTCTGGCTCCACAGAGCTGGGAGCTGGGAGCCATCACACTTAGCACTCATCTAAGTTTCCTGTGACTTGAGGCTCCAAGGGGCTCAGAGCAAACCTTGGCCTTGGACTTTGACAGCGGCCCTTGGCTTCGTGCACAGAAACACAGAACAGATGCATCCTTACGTTCCCACCACACACAGTATCTGAGTTGGCTTCAATTTCCTCAACTGCAACTTGGAAATAACACCCTGATTTCCTCCCTAGTGTGCTTAAGACACTGCACAGAATAAGGTCCTCCGGGAATGATAAATACTAGTGCTAGAAGTAATAATAATAACGTTAACAGTTATTGCTTCTTTGTTTCTATGACAGACTGGGTTTCTCCTACTGTGGACTTAGGACTCATTCATTCACTCACGCATGCATGCATTCATTCATTCCTCCTTCGGGAAGTCTGGCATCGTGCTGGGTGAGCTGGATGATGACCCCGGGCAGGAACGCCACGTGTCAGTGTCCCACAGCGTCACTCACCGGCCAGTTGTAGTAGAGGTGGCACAGTTTGAAGGTGAGTCTCTGCATGTGGTCGGGCTTCAAGCCGTTGTCGTCATAGATGACGTTATAGTGGGTGGGGGTAACCGTTCCCTGGCCGGCTGCCTGACTGATCAGGTAGAAGTCGTACCTGAGCGGAAAACGTGCACGAGTGTGAGAAAGAAGGCCAACCGAGGAGGCCCAACGTGAAGAACAGGCAGCGAACACTTCGCGGAAAACTGACTTTTCGAACAGCACTTGCCATTCAGGACGTGTGGCCTCGGAGTCCACCACGGTGCCGAGCGGCGGGTTCTGCACCGACCGGTTCATTTCCGTGAAGAATCGGGGTGTGCACTTCTTCCTGACCACGATCACCGAAAGCTTGGCGCTTGGAACCAGAAAGGCAGAAAGGGAGATGCAGAGAGCCAAAACCAAGCCTGCAGCTTTCTAGTCATCTTTTTTGGTAATTTCTAAATAAATTCATCCATTCATTAGAAAAACACTGCCAGGGTGCCTGGGTGGCTCAGTGGGTTAAGCCTCTGCCTTCGGCTCAGGTCATGATCTCAGGGTCCTGGGATCGAGGCCCGCATCGGGCTCTCTGCTCAGCAGGGAGCCTGCTTTCTCCTCTCTCTATGCCTGCCTCTCTGCATACTTGTGATCTCTCTCTCTCTGTTTCAAATAAATAAATAAAATCAAAAAAAAAAAAAAAAAGAAAAAGAAAAAAGAAAAACACTGCCAAATGAAGAAAGTAAAAATTATCCCCCACATCAACTCCCCCCAAGATACACAGTTTTCAAAATCAGAGGCTGTTCTTCCTTGTGGCAAGAGTGTGCTATGTCCAGTTACTCTGCTGGTTTCTATCCCTTGAAGGGGACAGGGGAGAACAGTTAGTAAGGCAATGAGCTTCAACTAGTATCTCTGAAGGAAGACTTTCCAGAATTTTCCATGGAGACAAGATTTTCTTTTTCCATTAGCAATAACCCCCTTATTTCACCTTCACCCTTCCTCTCAATTCCTGAACAGCAAAGAGACCCACAGGTTCTTCTTACTCCTCAAATCATCGTTCCTGAATCCCGCAAGACACACACCTGGGGAGGATAGATAGATGGACCAACCGAATGTACATTTGGGCCAGATGTTAAATGACCAGAAATTAAAGTCAGGATTCGCTAAAGCCAAGGCCATATCTAAATACTGGCCATCATTCCCAAAGGAACCACTGGGATGCAAAAATTATGGGGAAATTTCACTTTAATCATTTTATTTGAAAAATATATTGTTTTCAACGTAGAAACTTTTCAGAGTTGATGTCATACTGAAAGAGAATTCCTTAGCACGGTTGGCTGCTGAATGTACTCCCACTGGCCCTCAACTGCATGCTTGTGGTTGGGAGCAGACACAGTCCCCTGAGGTCAGTGGGGAGGGACCTGGGCTGTGAGGGTCTGGATGCAGCGGCAGGCGCGTCCTGGGGCTTGGCCCCAGGTGCGTCCTGGGGGCTTGGCCCCGCCCCAAGCCATTACACCCTCTCCCCTGGCTGCCCCATCCTGATGTGGCCGGGTCTCAGCTCCTCCAGGGCTCACACCTGCACCTTTGGTGTTGATGGTGTCCCGGACAGATAAACACAGGGCTCTGCTTGGAGGAAGGTGCTCCCCAAATATTTTAAGAAGCCAATTTGAGATTATCATCCTCCCCTGTTTGTCAGTTCTAGTATTTTCCCTGCACCTCCCACTTGACATACTCACTACCACATCCCTGAATCCAGAAGGCTGGTGACGGGGAGAGGCAGCCCAGCCGGCTCTGCCCTCCACTGCTGTCCGCACCTCCCACCCACCTTGGCCGCATACCAGGGCCTGAGCCCTGGCTGATTTGGGCCTTGAATTTCAAACCACAGCATGTTTAGTCCCGTGGCTTATCAGTATGTGTGAAGTGTCTTCCCCCGACCCAGCTGAATCTCCATGTCAGCCGCGCTGAAGGACACCTGCCTTCCTCCGGGTGCCCCCCCCCCACTTCAAGGAAGAGCATCCCAACGATGCTCCAAGCTGCGGGAGAGCGAACCATCGTCTGTACCCACATGACGCAGGCACAGAGCCAACCTTCACTGCGTGAAAAAAAAGATGCTGGCGTCTATGAATTTTAACACTTCTAATGTGCTATCACCGCGAGAGTGGGGAACGCACAGTGATTGCCTACCTGGTATTGGAACTTGCCTCTGTCACACTGCTCAGCAGCTGCGGAACCTCGTATTCAAGCAGGGTCTGCAGCTGGCCGTCCCCCACCCCGTCCCGGTACACGACCACCCGCGCGGGCAGGCTGCAGTTGTGCCGATGCCATCTGTTGAGCGCTCCTGCGGAACGAGTAGTTGGTGAGAAGAGAATGGCTCGTCCAGCACCGACAAAGAGTAACATCCCCCTAGAGCTCAGGGTTTTAGAGAAGTGTGTTACTACAGACCACTGTAAAAGAGGGTAATTCCTAGACCTGAGTTGTATCTGCAATAATATAAATAATATAAAAACGGGTAACTTTAGGGGGACATTCGGCATCTCTGCTCTTGGAGGACTCATAATGGTTTCTGTGGCATAACGTATTCTTGGACTTAGCGTACCTCTTTTGTGACATTTTAATATTCAAGCAATCAACGAAGTCGTGCAATAAACAAATTCCCAAAACCAAACGAATACTAATTTGGCGTCTTCGAGTCTTTAAATGCTATCGATAGAGACAGGCTGGGTAACTCCATGTCATTTCCTTCCCCAATGAGCGTAAATATGAAGACATAAGGAAAGGATGTGGTCGCTCCTCTGAGAGCATCTCTTACCGTGGACTCACCCAATTTGATTCTAAGTTGCACCGACAATGTGAACTCTGAGAACATCTCCACCCACTCCAGCTAAAAACTGCCCCAAGAGCAGAGGCCAGACAGTAACTCCTATCGACAGAAACTTTTCATAACTACTAAAAAGAAAAACAAGTTTTGAAGTGAGGGCAAAGTAACATAATACTTATTTTCAGGTATACATTGGGCAATTGCTTCAGAAGAATTTATTTTCCAGGAAATTTTAGTTCAACAGATGATGATCATATAGGTAAGGTCATAACCAACACATATCACCAAATTCACTTTTTTTAGGAAACATTTACAATGTCCCCCCGCCCCCCGGAGTTTATGGATGGGAAAAGCTCATCAGGAGAGGAGGTGAATTTTACAAGCCACACCGTGAGGTAGCGCCAAGGCCAGGCACCGACCAGGGCTGGAGAGGAGATGGGAGCTCCAGACACTGTTCCCATCACATCTCACTACACAGAAAGCACCCTTCCCCGCCTGCCTTCTTCCCCATCTTCTCCTGCTATGCCGCCCTTCATCTGCCAGCATCCTATTCTATCCCCGCCCCAAAGGCTTCCTTCCTGTTTCTAGACCTCACACCACTCTGTCACAATCCTTGTTTCTCTGGGGTAGGTTCCTTTGGTATTTGCCCTGCTTGCCAGAGCCACCAGCAGCTAAAAACTGCCCTTCCTCTTGGCTTTCTGTTTATATCACACACACAGGACACGTGCAGCTTCTCCAACATCTGTGAGCATGAGTCAGGACAGAGCACTGGAAATCTCTAACCAGGTGATGGTCTACTCAGGCAGGCTTAGGGCATCTGCTTCCCCGGTCTGGTCTGCTACGGGCACACGGACTCTGGGCCAGAAAGAATAGTGCATGGAGCCCACCCACACCGCGATACTTTGAGTACCAGTCATGAATACTTTCAAGCAATCTGCAACATCTGTCGTCGTTCTCTGGAGGATACAGCGAGAGAACCACCTAAAGTGAGAAGAACACAAAAGTGAAGTTCAGATTCAAAATGTCTACCCTAGACGTACATTAGGATTAAGTGAAGAAAAGGAAAACAACCAAAGTGTCCGTCGGTGGGAGAATGGATAAAGATGTGTGTGTGAGTCTGCACTTGCATGCACACCCAGAATTCTATTTAGATACAGCAAAGAATAAAGTCTTGCCATTTGTGACAACATGGATGGATCCTGAGGACATTACACTAAGTGAAATATGTCAGGCAGAGAAAGACAAGTACTGTACGTTCTCACTTATACGTGAAATTAGGAGGAAAAAAAAGCTTCTAGATACGGGAGGAGACTGGTGGTTGCCAGAGGCAGGGGGTGGAAGTGGGGGCACGGGGTGAAGGAGATCGAAGGATATAAACTTCCTGATACAAAATAAGGAAGTCCTGGGGACATAATGAGCAGCTTGGTGAGCACAGTTAATAAGACTGTTATTATTGTATATTTAAAAGTTGCTAAGGGCGCCTGGGTGGCTCAGTGGGTTGAGCCGCTGCCTTCGGCTCGGGTCATGATCTCAGGGTCCTGGGATCGAGTCCCACATCGGGCTCTCTGCTCAGCAGGGAGCCTGCTTCCCTCTCTCTCTCTCTCTCTCTCTCTGCCTGCCTCTCCGTCTACTTGTGATCTCTCTCTGTCAAATAAATAAATAAAATCTTTAAAAAAAAAAAAAGTTGCTAAAAGAGTAGATCTTGAAAGTCCTCATCACAAGAAAAATGAATGTTATGACTATGTGATGATATTAACCAGACTCACTGTGGTGATCGTTTTGCAATATGTACAAATATCGAATCATTATGCTGAATACTGAAACTGATGTAATGTATGTCATTATGCCTCAATCGAAATAAAAAGAAACAGACATTGTGAGTAAAATTTAATGCTCATGATTTTGTATATGCTACATGAGTACAATTAAATTAAAAACCCCCCTTCCCCAAAAGAAATTTGTTGGTAAGAGAAACTGAAGCATGGTACTGGCATCAGATACGGTTGGGTTCAAATCCTGGCTGGTACACTCACCAACCATGTGAACCTAAGCCTCAGTCTCCTCATCTGTACTAAGGAAACATAGAAGGCGATAAGGTAGTTACTACCTCATAAGGTTGTAAAAATTAACTTAGATAATCTACATAAAGGACTTAGCACGGTACTTGGCACAAAATAAGCAATAATAAATATAAACCACTACATTATTGTTACGAAGGAATTTATTAGTTTAGCAGATCTACTTTCAAAATACTCAAAGATTTCTCAGGTATAAACGTCAACTCCTATCAATGAGCCTTTTGGACTTGAAATCTGAACATGATTAACTTATTTAAATTTCAGAAGTTCTCTTGCTAAAGTTATTAATTAAATAAAAGCACTTGAAAAATGGAAGTCATGGCTTAGTGGTGAGTATGCACTGAAATTATTATTATAGAACCAATAATGACACAATGAGGAATGAGGCTAACAAACAGGAAATCCTTTATCTGCTTCATTAACGAAGTGACAAACGGGATCTCATACAAGCTGGAAGGAATTTGGAGCCCCACCGCTACTTTTCCTGTTTCTCGCCATCCCAAGTATATACCTGACCACAAATTTAACGGAGTAAACCAAATAGCTTACGTCTGGGAATAAAATACGTCACGGTTCCTACAGCCTCAAAACACTCTGTTTTGTTGCAAATAGTAAAACGATTCTAAGAACTACAGTTACTTAAGTACCATGACTCTATATTTAATGTGTTACTGCCGAACCTGTTTCTGTTTCCAACAGCTGCACGAACAACTACACCAACCGTCTGCAAGTGTCAGTAACAAGAAGCATGTGCTGCGCGTACTGAGCCTGTGGTTTAAGCACTTCATCTCACGTTATTTCCACACGCACCCTGTGAAACAGCCATTGCCGACATCCCCACTTTACAGGTGACTACAAGTGAGGCGCAGCAAGCTTAAATAGCCAGACGTCAAACACAGAATAAGTACACGGCAGATCAGGATACAAATCCAAACAACGTGAAGCCAGAACTTAGCTGCTAGACGTAATGTACCTGAGGCTTCTAGTACGGGACCCGAAACAGGGCAGATGTACAGATACGAATTTCCATCATCCATCACTTTGGGAATATGATAGGTATATGAGTGACAGCTTGTCCTGATGTTTGCATAAATACAGTTTTTTCATAAGGCTACCTATTAATATTATCAAACACATTTTTATCTGTAAGTATAATTTATGACTAAAGTGTTCATATATTTTAAAATGAATGAAGAGGCACCTGCGTGGCTCAGTGGTTAAAGCCTCTGCCTTTGGCTCAGGTCGTGATGCCAGAGTCCTGGGATCGAGTCCTGCATCGGGCTCTCTGCTCAGCGGGGAGCCTGCTTCCCCCTCCCTCTCTGCCTGCCTCTCTGCCTACTTGTGATCCCTCTCTCTCTGTCAAATAAATAAGCAAAACCTTTAAAAATAAATTAATTAATTTAATTAAATGAGTGAAGAACACAAACTGTTTCCTGCTCTATAGTTTTTAGCTCAACCACAAACAATAATTAGAGAATATGCTGGGGTAATTGTAAAAGCACCTGGTGATTCCGGGGTTAATACTGGCCACAAATCCAACCACCACCATTCCCTTGTTGAACTCATCTTTGCAGACATCAATACCGACCACCATCAGGGACTTTAACTGTAAAAGTAAATTTTTCATGATTTAATGGAATGGGGCATTATTTCCCTAAACGATGATTTAATAAGTTTTTTTTTTTTAAAAAAACTGTCCCTCGCTGTTAAATTATTTAAGTGAAGCTACATGCCAGCGAGACCAAGGGCCAGAGGAAGCAGCCTATTAAAACAGACACCAAAGAGACTTAAAGATGGAGGGATGGCTGTGGTACACACTTTGCTTCAGAGTCTCACTGTAGTGGCTACCATCCTTTGGGGAGATGGACAAGTGCCCGTGGTGACCCAAGAGGCTCAAGGTGAGTGGTCCGTCATTTATCCGGGCCTCTGGGCTGCAGGGATCTCAAGGAGAAGTGCATTCCCCATTCTTTAGATGTCTGGGGACCCCCCACCTCGCTCCTTGGCTCTGCAGCCCCGAGGAGGCAGCTGGGGCTCCCCGCATACATCCTGCTTATAGAAATGGAAGGCAATGGACAACATTCCTTCACGTCTCATCCCCTCCCCTCCTTCCACAGTGGCCAACAGTTAGGGAAAGAGAAGAGGACTTTCTCAGTTCCTGCCACAGTCCAAGATCAGAGATCTGCTGGCTGCTGAGTCCCGGGGAGCCTCCTCCAGGGTGTGGAGCTCCTCTGATGGCCAGCAGCTGCTAAAAGCTGATAAAAGCAGAGACCCTGGAGCACAGATTTCCTGTAGCGGCAGCAGGGCGGCTCAAGATTGAGATCCTCCAAGTCTCTGCCAGCCCAGCTTCTCAGTCATGAGACGTGCTGCCAACAGCTCACCCGAAGCTCCCGGACAACAGGAACCGCACCTCACCTTCTGGAGGGGGTCCTGAGTCATGCCAGAGCCCAGAGCCCATAGACAGACAACAGACCCAACAACCACAACAAACACTTCTGGGATCACGGGAAAATACCTCCCACTTGATGTCATTGTTAAATTAAGGAAAGCATTGAGGGATTGCTAAAAGGAGAAGAGTGACAGACTGCTCACAGGGATCTCCACAGCCCACAGCTCGCCTCCAAGTTTGCAGGCCATTTGCATCGCGATCTTGGTGGCAATGCTCATCACCATTCCCTGTTTGTTCAAGGTCCGCGTGAGGGCGCACTGGCTTGGCACGGGGCAGACGGAACTCAGGTATTTTTTAATGGAATCATAGTAGCTCTTCTGATTAGAAGGCAGGATACACATTACCTAAAAGACAAAAAAAAGGAAGGAAAAGTCACCTTACTTATGTTTAGAAGTAGCTTTACAAAAACTGAGGGGTGGCAGGGTGGCTCAGTCAGTTAAGTGTCTGACTCTTGATTTTGGCTCAGGTCATGATCTCAGGGTCATGAGATCGAGCCCCCCGTCAGGCTCCCCCACACCTTGAGCATGTGTGCTCTCTCTAAAAAACAAACAAACAAACAAAAAATGAGAAGGGGGATTCTCCAAATATCTTGCCTTTAAGTTCTGAAGAAGCAAACACTAACATATCTAAAGTTGTCTCAAATGGCCCTTAACCACTGACAACGGGTCAACGCTGCTTCAAATGCCCTTTCATCAGCCACCTGCTCCACAGTCCCACTCCAAAGCTACCCATCCCTCTTGGCTTTTACTGCCTTCCATCTCTTCAGATTTGATTCTACTAGGCTCCCCAAATTCCCTCCTAACCTAGCTCCTTCTCCAGCTTCCTCCCCGCCCCTTGTCGGCCCCTTCCTGTGGTTCTCCAGCTCTCACCCCCTTCCCTCTCCTCCCCCAGCCTCACCCACACATAGGCCAAAAGGAGGATTAGCTTGCACTGTAGTATTTTCCCCCACTAGGTACTACACAACCAAAATAAAAGAAACAAACAACAATATTTTGTTGTTGCTATTGTTTACTGTGACCTGAGAGTAGGGATATGGGGGGAGGGAAAATAAGGAGAAAGAAGCTTCGGGTCCCCAGGTATTTTAAAATTCTGCCATCTCTGTCATTGGCCCTATTTCTTATCAGGTGCTTCTCCCCAAAGGGCCTCTCCTGACCTACCTGCATCTCCCTTCCATCTTGTACTCCTTACTTTCAAAACTGCCATATTATAGAAAAAATGGGCACTGTCATGATTAGCAGAGGACAAATAAAGTGATTTTTCACCTATAGATCTATTCAAGTATCATTATGTCAAGGGATAAAATTATTTACATTTAATTACATAAAATAGGGAAATACATTTGTCTGCACAATCCTCTTAGAGGAGTCTTCCTTCCTTCCATCCTATGAATTTGGGACCAAGCAAGGTAGGTGACAGAACAAGACAGTGGTCCAGCGGGGACAGGGACCAAAAGAAGGTGGGAAACAAGTGAGATTGGTTGTCTACAGGGGATGGAGGCACAGGTGATACATGAACAGCAGGAGCCGTGCTTCCCCCCAGAGAAGGGAGGTACAAATACAGATGTGGGGGACACTTCCCTGTGCTGCTGGGTTGGAACTGAAGGCGTGAACACGTGTTTAACATGTACATAGACACACATAGATGTATGTGTGTATGTATCAACAGTCGACCCTTCAACAACATGGGTTTAAACTGTCCAAGTCCGTGTCTGTGCAGATTTTTGGGTAAGTATAGTCCAGTATCATAAATGTAGTTCCTCTTCCTTACGATTTTAATAACGTTTTCTTTTCTCTAGCTTACTTTATTGTAAGAATACAGTATATGGTATATATAAAATACAAAATATGTGTTAATCGACTACGTTATAAGGCTTCCAGTCAACAATCAGCTAAGGAATTAAATTTGGTGGGAGTCAACTCGTATGGAGATTTTTGGCTGTGCAGGGGTCTGTATCCCTAATCCCCACACTGTTCAAGGGTCAACTGCATCTGAGAACATATATGTAGACCCACACTACACATACTCCTAGTTTTACTCACTGAGAAAACCGGGGAGCAGTGACACCCCAGTAACAAATGAGCACACCCAGTGGCCAGATTTTGATTTCTAAATACTGTTCTCTACCAAAAGGCATCATAGCTCGCTGGAGAAATATCTAATTCCACAGCGGGCAGCAGAATTTCAAGATTAATTTGGAATACCTTATTGTGCCAGACAGTAAGGAAATGTCCCCCCAAAGATGGGGATATCTCAAAAAGACACAGAAGCCAATGTGAATGGGTCTTCCACTAACAAAATCAGGAACGATTTCGGCATCAAAATAGATAACAGTAGTAATAGACTGTAAGTTGGTAATAAAATAGGAAACTATGAATCCATAAGGATTTAAACAAATGAACAAAGAAATGGGGAGAAGAGAAAGCTCTTCATTGTAACATAATTCTACCTACTAAATGTAGAAGGAAATACAATGCTACATACTAAATGTATAAAATTAGAAAGCCACCATTTGGCAAACACCATAGTAACAATGGGTTCGGATTAAGAATTATCAATGGATTCTGAAACTAGCAGGTAAAAGTTTGATGAGAAACAGGATATTTACATACTCTCAAGGTATCTTGCTGCAAAACAAAACCAAAAACACCTGAAAATTACCAAGCGACAGAGAAACCTGGTAGATAGCACCTTAATTAATGGGGTACCCCCCAGGAGGACGTATTAAGAAAACAGGATCATTGCTTGATACTCCTGCCAAAAGTGCATAACCTGAATTGAATTATAAGGAAACATCAGACAAACCCAAATTGAGGGACATTATATAAAGTAACTGATCTATACTTTTCAAAGTTGGAAGGTCATCAAAACTATGGAACTATTTCATGAAAATAGAGCTACCCTACGACCCAGCAATCACACTACTGGGTATTTACCCTAAAGATACAAATGTAGTGATCCGAAGGGGCACGTGCACCCGAATGTTTATAGCAGCAATGTCCACAATAGCCAAACTATAGAAAGAACCTAGATGTCCATCAACAGATGAATGGATAAAGAAGATGTGGTATATATATATATGATGGAATACTATGCAGCCATCAAAAGAAATGAAATCTTGCCATTTGTAATGACATGGATGGAACTAGAGGGTACCATGCTGAGCGAAATAAGTTAATCAGAGAAAGACAATTATCATATGATCTCCCTGATATGAAGAACTTGAGAGGCAACGTGGGGGGTTTGGGGGTTAGGGAAGGAAAAAATGAAACAAGATGGGATCGGGAGGGAGACAAACCATAAGAGACTCTTAATCTCACAAAACAAACAGGGTTGCTGGGGGGAGGGGGAGAGGGAGAAGGTGGTGGGGTTATGGACATTGGGGAGGGTATGTGCTATGGTGAGTGCTGTAAAGTGTGTAAACCTGGCGATTCACAAACCTGTACCCCGGGGGCTAATAATACATTATATGTTAATAAAAAATTTTAAAATTTTTTTAAAACTATGGAACTATTTCAGATTGAAAGAGGGTCTAGGGCGCCTGGGTGGCTCAGTGGGTTAAGCCTCTGCCTTCGGCTCAGGTCATGGTCTCAGGGTCCTGGGATCGAGCCCCACATTGGGCTCTCTGCTCAGCAGGGAGCCTGCTTCCCTTCCAATCTCTCTCTGCCTGCCCCTCTGCCTACTTGTGATCTCTGTCAAATAAATAAATAAAATCTTAAAAAAAAGAAAGAAAGAAAGAAAGAGGGTCTAAAGAGACAGCACGACCAAGTGCAATGCATCAGATCCTTTTACTAGAGAGGACATATTTTAAGGACAGATGGAGAAATGTGAAGGGAGTCTGTGGATTAGCTGGTCTTACTGTTTCCTGATTTTGATGGTTGTCCTATGGTTCTGTAGGAGAGTGACCCTGCTTGTAGAGAAAATGCACTGAAGTATTCAAGGACAATGGGGCATCAGATCTGTAACCTATTCTCAAATGGTTCAGGAAAAAAGAAGACAGACAGATTGATAGATACAGGAAGTATACTGGGTAACCGGTATATGACAGTTCTTTGTAGTATTCTTATGATCTGTTTTTATTTTATTTTTAACGAAAAGAAATGCTCTTAGGGTTAGAATTCCTTTTGTTCAATATATCATCCGTATGGGCCTTTTTTGTGTCTGACTAGAAGAGAAGCAGACATGGCCAAGCTGCTTTGCGGGAAATGCAGAGAGGGATGCTGGGAGCCTGGATGCATACATTGAACATGTAAGACACTGCAGTGCAGCGAGAGGTGGGGCCTGGGAGAAGAGGAAGCACTTCCAAGAAATAGGGATGGCTAAGAGATTTTTCAGAACAAGGATGCCAATTTTAACTTGTCTGCAGTGTTGGGGTATGCTCTAATCATGCCTTGGTCCCAAACCCTCCGCCAAGTCAACTACACCCATGCACATGCGCAGTGCTCTGGCAAATGAGGCCGCTGTGGGAGCTGACGCAGTGCATGGGGAATGGCGTTCATCAAAGAGGCGAGAGTCCAGCAGCAGCAGCCATAGGCGACATCGAAAAACCTAAACCCTCCAAGAACCCACTGAAACACTGGGAGCCCCAGCATTTATGGGATACGATGGGAGTCACTTTATCTTAAATCTTAAATAAATATGTAGACATCCAAGAGGATAAGACAGAGGTACAAACAAGTACTTAAAAATTAACATTAGGGGTGCCTGGGTGCCTAAGTCGTTGAGCGTCTGCCTTCGGCTCAGGTCATGATCCCAGGGTCCTGGGAACTAAAGGCTCCACATCAGGCTCCCTGTTTGCCGGGAAGCCTGCTTTTCCCTCTCTCACTCCCCCTGCTTGTGTTCCCTCTCTCTGTGTCTCTTCCTGTCAAACAAATAAACAAAATCTTTTTAAAAAATTAAAATTAACATTAACATTAGAAATATGAAAAGGAAATAAAATACTGATTAAAATACTAAGATGAATACTTTCTTGGGTTCTTGGGGAAATGCACAGCCATTTGCAAACATATTATAGGAGAATGTGCTCACATTCCTTCTTCCAAGGAAAGAAGACTATTAGATATAAAGAAAAAATAAAAATTACACATCAAAACAAAAATTATCCTATACTTACCAACTGAACATTAGGATCAACGTGTCTCTGTAGAGCGCTAAGGAATGCAGCTGGATTTTCTTGTACTTTGATGCTACATAAAAAGATTAATTTTGAGGATATATAGTTCCCTTTATAGTAACACATAATCATATAGAGTTAAAAATAATACAGATTTTTATAATCCCACTACAAGACCACACCGAAACACTTACTAATCATTTTTTATTAGCTTAGAAAATAGTCTGGTGGAAACTGCGAATTTCTCAGCTGTATATATCCCTACAGTTAAAAATTCCATAGTCCAAAATGAGGTTGAACGTGAGGTTTTGAAAACACAAGTCTCAATACTAGGCATCTGAAACTGGTTCGAGTTAACCTGGGATTAAGGTTTCTTTAATACTGAATCCCCACAAGAACCTTAAAAGTCTCAAAAATCATCAGATGAGTGAGAGCAGGCTATTCAGCTAATCTGAATGGTTCCGACTAAAAGATGATTTTTTTCCTCAGTGACCACTCGTTTGGAGCCTGGACTATTCAGCCTGTACCAGTCAGTCAGCAAGTACGTATCTGTTCTGTGCTCACATTACGTTAGGAGCCAGACGCCGCAGAAGTGATTCCCACACAGAGGACTTCACAGATTCCCTATGTAGAATCAGCTTCTGAGAGGTGGACAGGCTGGATGGTCCCAATGCCCAGCGGCCTTTTCAGCCTTGCCCAGCAGGTGGCAGGACCCCGGTTCCCTGCTCACTGATTCTAACTTGAGCGCCAGGGAGGGCCCGCAGCCCTGTGAAAACAACTAAACGTTCCTGACTTTTCCAAATCAATCTCTTGCACATGCAGTCTCAGCCTCCATCTACTATCCATTCTTTCCAAACTCATCAGGCAAATGTTTCAGATAGGAGGAACTAGGCATATAAATCCAACAACCAAGGGGCCCCTGGGAGGGCTCAGTCATCTAAACACCCAGCTCTTGATTTCCTCTCAGGTCATGACCTCAGGGTTGTGAGATCGAGCCCCACATTGGGCTCCATGCTAGACAAGGACCCTACTTAAGATTCTCTCTCTCTCTCTCTCCACTCTCCCTCTCTCTAAAATAAATAAATAAAAATAAAACATAAATGGGAAAGATAAAAGAATGAAATAAAATATGGGCTTTCAGGGCCCCTGGGTGGCTCAGTCATTAAGCGTCTGTCTTTGGCTCAGGTCATGATCCCAGGCTCCGGGGATCGAGCCCCACATCCTGCTCACTCCTCGGCAGGAGGCCCGCTTCTCCCTCTCCACGCCCCTTGCATGTGTTTCCTCTCTTGCTGTGTCTCTCTGTCAAATAAATAAATAAAATCTTTTAAAAAATAAAATTAAATTAAATTTTAAAAAGGGCTTTCAAATAAAACAGCCTAAGAAAAGAAGATGGCACAAGCTTGTGCGTGGAAGTCCCGTAAGAAAGAGCTTGCACCGTCACCCCAGGGTCTGTGACGGGGGCTTCTTTCATTCATCTCTTCCTGATTTCTTAGCTCCTGGGTTAAGAGAAATTAGAGCAGGTGAAACTGAAACCAGACGATTTGTTAACAGATGTGATAAGAGGACCATTCTAACTACAGAATAAAATGAGACTTTGGGGACACCGATGGTTTTCAACAATGCTTGCACTGCTGATGCAATTAATTAGTAACCGCTTGTTTAAAGAATAACTTCCCACCTTGCCAATTAGGACATTTGCCCCTTGGCTATGGCAGCAGTAAAAAGAAGTAGGCGTTCCTCCTTACGAAGCATACGAAGCTCAATGAAATGAGGCATGACCAACTCGATTGCTTTCCTAAAAGCAAACAAGATCCGATTCTGAGTAACTGGATATGTAGGGATCCCTTACTAAACTGAAAGCATATGCCATATGCTCATCCCCAGCAAATGGCATAGCATCTAGTATACAGCAGACTCTCAATAAATGTTCAAAGAATAATGCCCTTGGTTTTATCAGAGAATTATCTAAATAATCTTGGGCTACAGTAACAGAATCAGAAAAGCCTATTTCAGATTTATTTTTACATTAAACTTTTTTAGGGTGTATTTATTTAAGAGAAAGTGGGTGAGGTGGAAGGGCAGTGGGATAGAGAGAGAAACTCAAGCAGGCTCCATGCCCAGTGCAGAGCCTTGCAGGGCTAGATCTCATGACCCTGAAATGACGACCTGAGCCGAAAGTCAGATGCTTAACCAACCATACTACCCAGGTGCCCCTCTTTCTTATGTTAAATTTTAAAACATAAAATCTATCAAATAAGTCAGGAAATGCAACTTTTGTATCTTTCAATACCCTGTTTCCTATTAAGTTTTATAAATAACTGATATGAAATAATTAAGGGGGGAAAAAAGTTAATGGATTTATTAAGGATTTATGGCCCAACTAGTACTGAAAAGATCTTGGGGGTAATGAGACTATTGCCTAAAGCACTGTGAAAGCAGTTGTATAAAAACCAACATAAAATATGTTTTAACTGTATAAAATTCAGTCACTACAAAATCTATCTACTTATAACTATTTTGTTAGTACAAGAAACCTGTTTTCTTGGTATTAGGAAACTTTACTGAGCTAAAGCTTTTGCAGCTACATCAGCCATCTTTAAACCAAATTAATAGATGAAAACAGCTGGGACGATTTTCCGTGTATTCTCACATTTTGGGGTAGTCCACATTAAATCCCATGGAACTTCCAACTCTTCTCAAGCAGTGCAGAAAATCCTCGGTCACTTTTTCATCTCTGTTGCTGCATATAATCAGCCATTTATTCAAAGACTGTGCACTTAAAATCTTGCAATTTCGCATATCCTTGGACCACTCAGCAGCAGACCCAGGCTGACACTGAGAAAAATAATGATCATGAAAGGGTTGAGCACACTTATTCAGAGAGCAGCTAAACAAAAGTCGTGCAAAGATGGTCCACATTCGTCATAAGAGACCTGTTTAGTACAGTTTGCTAGTCACAGACTTAAGACACTGATCCAAGCACTGCACATCTGGACAGAGTACATGGGCCTCCTGGAAGGGGAGGCATCTGAGCATCACCGCAGGCCAGCCCGTCCCTGGCTGCAGACAGCTGGGCAAGTCACTCTACCTCGGGCTGCTGCTGTGTGCAAAGAAAGGTGTCTGGTTCAAAGATCTCCAGGTTCCCTTCCAGCTCTAAGATCGATGGTCTTTAATATGAATGCTGCAGGCCAATGGGCTGTCTGACTCGGTCTCCTGAGGCAGAAAGCTATCTGAAGGGGAAAATGCTGACTACTCGTACTCCAGGGCATCCAACTACAGCTCACAAACGCTATGGGTCAGTGAAGAACATGCATCACGCCAGGAGTAGCTACATCTAGAAGCAAAGATGAGGCCAGGGCACAAGCTCCTTTCTCACTCTTGGACAGTCCCTGCCCCAAGGGACCAGGAAAACTATGCTCCCTGCACTGAAAAGGAGAGATTTTAGACGGGTTACCAGCCTTCTGCTGATATCCACACACCGGAACTCAACGGAATGTCCTTGGTCCAGCTGGCCGGGAAGAGCCACGGTTAGAGTTGAAGAGGACCACACTGTAATCGAGTCCCTGGCAATTCGGCCTGGCTATCTCCCGAGAGCTTGTCAGAAACGCTGAGTCCCGGGGCCCATCCCAGACCCGCTGCATCGGAATCTGCATGTTAACATGTTCCCAGTCACTCGTCAGCACGTGAGCGCCTAAGGAAGTATTACGATCCCCTTGTTCCACAGACTCCCCAGCTATGGCTGAGAGACATTCTGGAGGCAGCTGGTGCCACTGACAGGTTTAGACTGGTCTTCCTGAGGCTGCAATCAGGAAGGCTGCACTTTCCACCAAACTCTGAAATCCTACCACAGGCACCCTCATAATGCCGTGCCATTAGGTGGCCAGGCAGGGACTCTGTTCCAGGAGGTGACCTTAGCAAAAGAAGGACAAGGGTAGCTGGCCATCGCCGGTTCTCTCTGGAGTCGCGGTTCATTCTTTCCGTTACCACCAGCATGAGGAGAGCCAGGGCCCTCTCACCTCACTCCTACTTGTTATGGGCTGGCGGAAGACCCAGGACAACTGCCCAAAAACACTCTGAGGCCTGTGAATCTTTAGTCTACTAAGTTCCTGGAACTCAAGTTCAGAAAAGCAAGCAGCCCAGGGCACCGTCAACGCTCACCAGCCACGACCACCGCTAGGGGGCGCCTTCTCCCATTTTAGTGCCCCTTCTAAGAAAAACCAGTTTCCACGCTAAAACTGAACTCGATCAGCAGAAACAAGGATGCTTGTTTTGAGCTGGAGACCTGGGGGCTGCATTTTGGACGCAACAAGAAAGCTCTGAGAAATGATTTTGCTTACAGAGATGATGAGACAGACCATATTAAATATTTATAACCTGCTTCATATGTGGAACCAAAACTGACCTTCTCTTTACTGACTCCTGACCAAAATCTTAATGGGGACCTACTTTTTGTACTTTACACACTTTGGTTCTGTCTTGTTTTTAAAAGTAGTTTTTCCTCAGCTTCTCCAGTGAGGGTTTTGGTAACTTGGATGGATGACAGAAAAGAAATGCTGAAAAATTCCCGTGCCACCAGCACAAAACTTCTGTTTCTCAGTTACATTCATTTAGACATGTCACCTGAGAAAGATGAGAAGAGGGCCTTTAAAAATAAAATATGTAACTGGCTTTAAAAACGAGCAAAACTATGGGAAAAGTAGAAAGATAATGCACCATTTTGCGTAAAATAGGTTCATTTCTTCAACTGAAGCCTGAAAGAGAAGTGTCTCTTCAGGTTTCAGAAAACCCCTCTAACTAAGTGCTGTGTGGCTAGGGACGGGCTCTGGGCACATTCCTTCATGTTGATGCCAACTGAGCAGCATTTTACTTAGAGGAAAAGAAAGAACCCCGGTATCAGAAAACGTAGTCTATTGGAATTACCTCTCACCAGTTAAAACATTTTCTCAGGTACTATGGAGTGAGTGTCTGTGTGAGTGTGTGTGTGTGTGTGTGTGTGTGTGTGTGTGAGAGAGAGAGAGAGAGAGAGAAAGAAAGAGATATGAGAGTACTATAACACCTAATAACAGGTGGGCATATTTTAATTGTCATAGCCTGAAATACACATTTTTCTAATACGTCTCTAAATGAGAAACCAAACCACACTGACCTAAATCATGTCCAGTGGGTGCTGATAAGTCCTCGCAAGTATACTCAGATTGAAAAGGAAAACAGAGGGGACTTCAAGGTTTAGGACAAAGGGAGGACGTGGACATGGACATAGAGAAACCAAATGACTATTATAAGCCCACTAGTCACCCCTGCATATGATCAAACACACACATATTCAAGTAAATACTTTTAAATGAAAATAGAATCACAGTACTTACTACATGGTCTTGCATTAATATTTTTTCTGAAGGCAAAACCCGCCCAGTCAGAGACATCTGGCATCCAAAATGCAGCCCCCAGCTCTCCAGCTCAAAACGAGCATCTTTGTTTCTGTTGATAGAGTTGAGTTTTAAATCATTAATAATTTTTTAAAGAATTCTGATCATTAGAGAAATATAACTTACTGAATTGTTCAAAGACTAATTTTTTTTTTTTTAGGATTCCTGACTTCTATTTCTACTCACCATTTTTCCCCCCTCAAACAAATGATGGGGACAACCAAACCCATTTGGGACACGCAGAGATGAAGAAGGTTTCTGGTGTGGCACCCTGGTCAGCAAAATGGGCCTGTGAGCCGGACAGACCCTGGTTTAACCCCTAGTGCTGACATTTCACAATATGTGACCTTGAATAAGACTCAAATTTTTTAAAGCTACGGCTTCCTTATTGGTAAAATGTAGGGATAATAAGCCTCGCAACTTTCGAGGGTTGATGTTAAAGATCAAGCTGATGTGGAAACCACTACCACAGAACCTGGCACATGCTATGTGCCCAATAAAGGTGAGCCATTTCTCCCGATAATAAACATGTTAATAAAGAGACATTATGGAGCGTCTGTGTGTGGAGATGTCTTCTGTGAATATCTGAACTGGTTGGCCTAGGAATGACAGAGGAAGGGAACATACACACTTGGGCTTTGGAAGGTTCATAGGATAGACGGCAGGAGGAAGATCGTGAGGAGAGTATTAGTGTCAGCAGTAATCACGGCTTTACATTTGTATGGTACTTTCAGATTAGAACTAGTAAACCTTAATCGTAGTTGATGTGTGATCTCCTTGGATTATGCTACATGGTCATCTCTAGTAAGCGCTAAGTCCCTTCAGGAGAGCAAGCATGCCAACTTTGCCTCCAGGCCTTCCACATGGCAGCCGGCACAAGGGGAGCCAGGCCCTCACTAGAGAGATGGATGAGACTCGTGCTCTACCTCGAAAAGCTTCCCCTCTCTCTTTAGGGGAGCTCAAACCTCCTTGCACAGGCTCTCTGCAACAGCTCATTATTTCCATCTAGTAATGCTCTGTCTGGTCTGGTCACATGGAATACTTTGAATTAATTATTTGGCTTCAGATACTATCTGCTCAAGATGAGATGGGTGAAGTAATCGCCAGTCAAGAAACTGGCTCCTGAAGCCGATGGGATTCCTGAAAGATGGCAAGGAGAGGCATCCGGGAGAGTAATCCACAGCCCAGAATAAAGGGAGAGAAGCATCTCCAGGAGGTGTAAGTCTGAGGGATATCCAGGATAAATGATGTGAATTGTAGCCATAAAATGGAAAACTATGAGAGTACAAGCGTAACAGAAATGCACATTTACCCTACAGAAATGTTCAAGAAAAAGCACATTACGAAACACGATATACAGTACTTTGCCATTTTCCTAAAAAGAACATGATTATATGCATTTGAAAATATCAGAGACAATATACACCATTCAATTATGATTCATTCATGCATGAAATCAATGTTTACTGAGTGTGCACACACATGCATTTCTTTTCTGTTTGCAGAAATTTCCAAGTTCATCCTCCAAATTTTTTATCCTTAAAGAAAAAAAGACCATTCTACAATGTAGTCCAGCAGAAATACAAAGTCATCCACATATATAATTTTTAAGTTTTCTAATAGCTGCCTTAAAAAAAGTAAAAATTGCCAAGTAAAACTATTTTGAAAATATATGTCCTTTAGCCCAATAAATTCAAAATGTGATCATTTCAAGATGTGGCAGTAACCGCATCCCATATGCCCTGCAGTGTCATGAGGCTACAGCACCGGACAGCAACGCTTTCGTAGGTCAGAAGGGAGAAACGGGAGCCGCTCGTTCCTGGCATTCCAGGTGACAGCAAACTGTCAGAATGAGGACAGGAATGCAGCGTGAGGGTAGACCGGCTAAACCAAAGGGCACAAAGGTATTCCTAAGTTTAAAGATTGCACAGTAGAATCTTTCTAACGATTAATGTGCTGAGGCCACCATATTAAGATGTGAACATTCTCAATCTCGAATATGAGGGGGTCTGCTGTGGTTCTGTTTTCTATTTTTATAATCTCCAACCCTTTCCTTCTTCAAATGTTTATCCAAAATCTCCAAGTATTAAACAGATGAGAGGAGGGTCATCTGGTGGAAGCTGGATGGTACTTCGGCCTGCGTGGCCTCCAACCTCCTCCCCTCCAACTCCCCCCACCCCCTGTGATCCCTGAGGCATCAGGGATGAATGTCTGGCTCTGGGCCACACAACCCAAAGGTGCCTTGCCCTGAGTCAACAGCAAAGAGACATTCCATCAAGGAATGAGACATTCTGTAGACCATCCAATTCCATAAACCAAGCCTGAGGCAGGATACACTCTGGCCCAGTACCTCTGAATGTCGTCAGCGAGCCTGGCCAGGCGCTGCTGCCTTCCCATAGGGCTGAGACGCGTTTCTCCAGCCACGGCCTTCATCAGCTGGAAATCAGTGGTTGCCTGGCGGGTCAACCCTATTAATGGAAGTGAAAACAAAGGGGAAAATGAACAGCATGCAATGTAACCCAGCCCAGCTCTGCCAGATTTTAAGCTTTGCACCTAAATTGACTCGGATCTAGCCTATGGATAGCATTGTCCCCCCAAAATGCAAGCCCCTCATATCATTCTAAATTTTCTAGCAACCACGTTTTGAAAAGCCAAAAACAGGGGCAGCTGGGTGGCTCAGTCGGTTAAGCATCTGACTCCTGCTTTCGGCTCAGGTCATGATCCCAGAGTCGTGAGATGGAGCCCCAGCCCAGCTCTCTGGGAGTCTGCTTGAGACTCCCTTCCTCTCCCTTTGCCCCTCCCCCTGCTTGCTCTCTCTCTCTCTAAAATAAATTGATCTGTTTTTTAAAAAGCCAAAAAAAATGAAGTAATTCGAATAGTATATATTGCTTAATTCAATATATCCAAAATGTTATCAATTCAACATGTGATCAATATTAAAAAAATTAACAAGTGATTTTCCCTGTTTTCTCACACTAATTCTTAGAAATCCAGTGTGTATTTTACACTCACAGCCTGTCTCTAGCTGGCCCCTCAGTTGCACTAGCCACATTGCCAGGGCTCTATATGGCCCTATATATTAACCCTATATGGCCAGTGGCTGCCAAATGGGACTGTGCAGATCCAGAGTATCAGAACGCCATTAAGAATAAGCAGCATCCCTCCCTTCGAGAATTATATCCTTACTGATTTTTCTAATTGTGAAATAAATATATACCCATTGTAACTGAAAATGAAATGTAAAAGGTGGAAAGTCCTCCTTGCTTAGTCCCGACCTGTTAATCAAATGAACATGATTAAAAGTGCTCATATTCTACTGTATGGTGAGAATTACCTTCTAGAACTCACACAGAAGGAAAACAAAGGTCATTTTGGCACCACCCAAACAATGTACCTGAAGAAAATCAAAGTCCTATTGCTTCCCACACTAATGAAGCTCAAAAATGCTGGAGAGAAGCTTGGTTTAATATGATCCAGCAATTCCACTACTAGGTATTTACCCCAAGAAAACAAAAACACTAATTCAAAAAGATACATGCACCCCTATGTTTACTGCAGTATTCTTTACAATAGCCAAGATATGGAAGCAGCCCAAGTGTCCATCAATAGACAAATGGATAAAGATGATGGGGGGTATAGATATATATATATACACACACACACACACATACACATATATATATACATGCGTGTACACAAACACACATACACATACACACACACAATGGAATATTATCAGCCATAAAAAAGAATGAAATATTGCCATCTGTAACAATATGGATGGATCTAGACAGTAGAATGTCAAATGAATTAAGTCAGAATTAGAAAAACAACTAACATATGATTTCATTCATATGTAGAATTTAAGAAGTAAAACAAACAAAGAAAAAAAGAGACAAACAGAAGTACAGACTCCTAAATTAAAGAACAAACTGGTGGACGCCAGAGGGGAGTTGCGGGGGTGGGGGGTGAGCGAGGTGAAGGGGACTAAGAGCCCACCCATCGGGATGAGCACTGAGGAATGCACAGAATTGCTGAACCACCATATTGTACACCTGAAACTAATATAACACTGTACAGTAACTGTACTGGAATTAAAAAGATAAATAAATTTTTAAAAAGAATATTCAGGGGGCACCTGGGTGGCTCAGTGGGTTAAAGCCTCTGCCTTTGGCTCAGGTCATGATCCCAGGGTCCTGGGATCGAGCCCCACATCGGGCTCTCTGCTCAGCAAGATGCCTGCTTCCCCCCTCTCTCTGCCTGTCTCTCTGCCTACTTGTGATCTCTGTCTGTCAAATAAATAAATAAAATTAAAAAAAAAAAAGAATATTCAGGCACAGGGTACAGCTAATGCAAAGGCAGTGAGGTAAGAGTACACGTGGTGTTACCATTGGTAAACTAGTCCTGGATTAGAAAACTTTGACCTTGAGAGTTTATCTCTTATTAAGTTACTAGCAGCTCTAGAGTCTCTCCCGAATAAAGTAATTTGGACTGGTTCTTTGACTACTCCCTTTTAGCTCATTCTAATTAGATAACACCACTGTAAAGGTTTCTGGTTCTGGTTTCAATTAACTCCCTTGAATCCTCTCACTCATTCTGGGATGAGAAGGATCATAAAAAAGAAATTAAGATCTGAAGTTGGACAGGTAAAAGTTTAAATCCTAAATTCTGAGGTGCCTGGGTGGCTTAGGCTGTTACCGTCTACCTTCAGCTCAGGTCGTGATGCGGCCGTCCAGGGTTCAAGCCCCACATCAGGATCCCTGCTCAGCAGGGAGTCGGCTTCTCCCTCTCCCTCTGCCCCTCCTCCCATTCAGGTCTCTCTCTCCTGCACACTCTCCCTCTCCTTTGGCCTCTCCCCCTGCTCCTTCTCTCTCTCCCACTCACTCTCTCTTTCAAATAAATAAATAAAATCTTATTAAAAATCTTAAATTCTGCCTAGTAAAAGACATGGGGCTAAGAGCAAGCTGCAAGCTTCGGCTCCCTTGACTATTAAATGGGGGCAACAAGAATTATGCCTAAATCACAGGGATTTTCATAAAGATTACGTGGAAGTTAAACAGAATAGTGTGTCTCAAAGTAATAATAATAATTGGGGAAGTAAGAAACTTTGGGAGCTGAAGGATAGGTCTATGACCTTGATGGTGATGATGGTTTTTTAAGTGTACAGTTACCTCAAACTCATCCACTTGTATTCATTAAATATGTACAGCTTTTACTTGATTTTTTTTTCTTTACTAAGTTTGCTCCACACCCAGTGTGGAGCCCAACATGGGGCTCAAACTCACAACCCCGAGAACATGACCTGAGCCAATATCAAGTCGCTTCACCCTGAATGAGCCATCCATGCGCCCGTATAGAGCTTTCATCATGTCAATCATTACCTCAACTAAGCGGTCTAAAGTACATAAATAAAAAAGTAAAGACTGCACGTAAAAAAAGAGAGGCTAGGGCCTGCGTGGCTCAGTGGGTTAAAGCCTCTGCCTTCGACTCAGGTCATGATCCCAGGGTCCTAGGATCGAGTCCCGAATCGGGCTCTCTGCTCTGCAGGGAGCCTGCTTCCTCCTCTCTCTCTCTGCCTGCCTCTCTGCCTATTTGTGATCTCTCTGTCAAATAAATAAATAAAATCTTAAAAAAAAAAGAGAGAGAGAGGGAGGCTTAGTTTCAGGAAAATCTCTGGGGGCCTATTTTATGTCGAAGTAACAAAGGGAATACATGAGCTAAGGAAAACATACAACTCTTCCTATGCCAAGCAATTCCCAAAGCGCTTTCTCTTTTCCCACTTTGTCCAACACACATGGCTTCATGGGCCCACCCTGTGCAGGTCAGATGAACACTCCGGTCCCCGAGAGCTGGGGGAGGTCCCGCCCTCCACCCTCCGCCGAGTATGTCTGGAGCCTGGGATCCAGCACGAGCCTGACGGAAGGACAGTAAAGCATAAACGTTACCTGTTAGAAAGCAGAGCTCGGGGATCAGGTGGGCCACCCTGGCCTCAGTGCTGTCATTTCTCTTGCTTTTCAGCAGACTCACAAGCACTGGCTGGTTTAGGTCGGATAAAGTAATATCGTATTGCTACAGAGTGCGAGATGAAGGAGGGAAAAGTTACTATGAAACACGGGAAAATGAGCGTCCTCATTTAAAACCAACAAGCTCATCCCAAAATGAACAGATGAGCAAATCTTTTTAATAAAGAAACCAAAAAATCCCCACCAATCCTTATGGTTCCCCCACTCATTTCTATTTCCTGCCGAGGACTCATCTTTCCTTTCTCAGGGTCTGTTTTATGATTTTAATTATTAGCCTTTATAATGCAACATTTTTTAAAAAGAAAAAAAAGAAAAGATTTGTTCATTGCTTCATCCTGAGTCCAAACTGTCTCCAGCCACCTCGCACATCAAAGGCCCCCCTGGAGCTGAGTCAGGGTCGGTGTTTCCACCACTGATGACCTACACGGCTACTCCGTGCATAACCAGTACGCTCACTCGGAAAACATCTACACACAGATTGGAGGCGACAGTTACATAAGTCAGACTCCAGAGATTCCCCCAAAAGCAGGACAGTCCCTGATTTCCAGACTGCCTGACGTTACTAGGGAAGCAGCTCTAAAGTCTGACGAATGGAAATCTGATCCCTGGTTCGTCATCTTCATTGAACTGGGACACTGAGGAAGTTCTCACCTTTCCTCAGGTACGAAATGGGGGAGGAACAGTTGCTCAGAGGCATCTGCCGTAAACCACCAGCATGCTGTCTGGTTTATGAGTCCTCCGCAATGGTCCATCCCTTTCTCTCCCCCCTTTCCCTGCCTAAGCTGGAATTTCAAACATTCTCACCTTCCCAAAAGTTCATTTCCTTTGCAACGGCAAAGGTCCCAATTAACACTCGTTTCCAGTATAGCTCACTCAACACTAATGACAGAACAACTGGAATTATAATTTACAAAATGTTTGGGCACTGTGTGATGCTGACATCAATAATTATAATTAAGGAAGTGAGAAACGAGAGTTTCTCTATTCAATAAGGACTTCTAGTCATTAAAATGAAAAACAATTTGGGAAATTGCAGTTTGAAGGGCTGATTGTCACTAATGCTCCAGCTAAAAAGCTTGAGGAAGTCTTCGTAGAAGGAGAATTTTTATTTGTGATGTCTTTAATTCAGTACACAGCTCATGTTTGTGATGTGCCAGGAGCTGCTGTGGACACAAGGAGGAGAGGCACAGCCCCTACCTTACACCCAACTACACATCGACAAAGCAAAGAAGATGAGAAGCACCAATAAGGATATGCTAAACACTTGCATTTTTCCTCATTTAATCTTAACGACACACCTACGAGTCAGACACTATCATCATCCCCTCCACAAATGAGGAAACTACAAGAAATTAAACAATTTTCCCAAGGTCCCATAACTGGAAATTAGCACAGCCAGCATTTATCCCATAAGATTTGGGAATCTCTGTGTGTTACACCATTTAGTACTGGGTGCCTGGGGAGGAAGGTGGGGGTGGGGTATGGTGGTGGCAGTGAAACAATTTAAGGCTGATAAGGCTTCATGAAGGAGGCAGAATCCAACAGAACACCTTGAAGAAAATACAGGAGTACAAGGAGTCCTAGGTAGCAAAGCTGAGACATGTTCCAGGAAGAGGGTATTGTATTTATCTGTGACATGGCCAAGAATTCTGCCCCTTAAGCTGTGGCATAGAGTAAACCTAGTACTCTCTCCCTTGCCCTAATTGTCTTAGCATTTGAAAATGCTTTTCACGAGATAAAACAGGGAAATATAAAGGCTAATATCAAGAAGACCACCGTGAGAGCTGGTTACATAGTAATTTAGTGTTCCTTCCCTGAGACAGAGAGGAAAACATTCTAGAATTGGCACAATTCCTTTCTTTTTCTCCCTAATTACAATAAATATGCAGCAAACCACAACTCATTACAAAGAAAGTGAGTGGGATTTTACCACGATTCCCTTCTCAGAATGTCACAGATCCTAAAAATACCTCTGTTCAAAGAACACATTTACTCAGGCAAGAAAAAACCCAAATGTTCAACAAACTTGGTGTTTAATAAACAAACACTTATGGAGCATATCATGCACAAGACGCTTTGGTAAGCACTATTCATCTCGGGTTAGCCAAACACCATCCCTGTTCTACAAGGAAGACATTCTAGAAGCAAAGTGTGTTGCGTGGAACAAATGCTCAGAGAACGGCTAGCTCTCCTGTGACTGTGACAGGAAGCGGGGTCAGAGAGGGCTTCACTGATGAGGTGACAGCTGACTTCGAAGCTAAGGTTTTAGCTGGTGTTGAAGGGGAAAAGCGCAGCGTGGATTTGTGCAGACGTCTAGCGAACATGAGCAAAGGCTGAGAAATGCTTAGCAGCAGCGAGTGGATGGGGGGACGGCAGCATTGGGTGCCTGGTGGCAAGGTGGGGAGACGTGAAGCTGGAAGATGAGAGGAGATAAAAGTGTGTGATGCTAGAGAGGAAGAAGGGGAGGCTGGGAAAAGAGGGGCAGGGTCTCCTCCACGTGTCCCGAGCTCGCCACATGCAGGTACCGGGCTGAGAGGTCTGTAGACACGCTCACCTCACTCAGTGCTCATGCTGCACCGCGAAGGCAGATCAATGGCTCCCCTTTACATAGGACACTCCAAGTTCAGTGTTTTGCTCAAGGTCACAGGGCGAAGCCGGGACTACCTCACTCCACAGTTAATGCTCTTAACCACCTTCCTGGGCAGTATTTCAGGAGGATCTCTCTGGTGGCAGTGAGGATGGTGGGTCAGAATGAAGATTGCTGGGGCAGGGACACCATAAAGGGGTGACCCAAATCCCCCAGATGGGAATCTGTGAGGTGTCCTGCATTCCCGCAGGGGTAACAGGGCTGGGGTGGGGGGCTGGGTTCCAGGGAAAATCCAAGTGCAGAGGGGGAAGGGTTCGTGTTGGTGACGAGTGAATGAGCAGATGAGGGTAAGAAGAGGAAGGCAGCAAGGGGCTGAATTCCCAAGGAGAAGTGGGAGTGGGGAAGACACGCATTCAGCACGCATGATGCTATTCTGAGATCCCTGTGGGTCATCCATGCAAATGTGGTCTGAAACTGGAGATGAGTCTGTAATTTGAGAATGAGGGCAAGGAAAAAGTAGTCCATTTGCAAGGTCTCAAGATAAGAAGACCAGATCCCTCAGGAGGGAGCTACGGTGAGTAACAGCATTTAACATGTGGGGAAAAGGAAGGGGAAACAGCTAAGGAGGCTGAGACAAGAACAAAATCTAGTGGAGAGACCCCCAGTCAAGGAAGGGAGCAGCTCCAGCCAGGGGGAAGGGCTCACTGGTGTCAAGGGCCACCAAAAGCCCTTCAGAATAAGAACGGCAGCTGAATTTGACCTTCAGAGAGCTATTTCCATAGCAGCAGAGCAGATGCCAGACCGAGGTTTCGGGGAGGAAGAACAGGAGAGGTGCTTGCAGCGAGCAAAGATGACCTTCCAAAGGAATCGGCAAAAAAGGAAAAAAAAAAAAAAAAAACCTTTGCTTAAAGGTGTAGAAAGGAAGAGTTCTTGCTATGTGTTTGTTCTTGTTTCCGAAAACATCTGTGAGATTTTGGAGACTGAAATATGATTATACGTCAAAGAGAAGGAGCCTCTGGAAGGAACTGTGGATGGAAGGTGGGGCAGAGGTCATGGAGATGGCGCTGAATCCAGCGCCTGAGGGAGTCGACTCCATCAGCAAAGATCAGCGTACCTGCTCCGTGCAAGGTGCTGGGCTAGCCCTGGGTAGCCGGAAATAAAGAGATCCAAGTTCAGGAGGGAAAAGAGACGGTTCACATCCTGCCTGTGATAATGTGATGCCACCAAATGCAGGAAGGGAACCCTGGGGAGAGCGCTGGGAGGTCCCCTAAGGAGAGCGCCGGGAGGTCCCCTAAGAGCAGACAGCTGAGCAGAGGAGGGAAGGGTGGTCAGTGACTTGCCGACTACGAAGGGGAATAACTGACGGAAGGAACCGCAAACAAATGGGAAACACGACGGAACATACTAAGGAAGTGAAGTGGTAAGAGAGGAGGCTCAGGAAAGGGAGCGGCCAGATCATAAGGGGCACTGCCCGGGAGCTCAGATCCAGCGCTTGAAGCACTAGAGAGCCACAGAAATATTTTAAGCAGGGAAGTGATATTATCAGCTATGCTTTGAAGGGAAATGCCCCAGGCTACAGGATGAAGGGCAACAGGAGACAGGAGGAGGGTCTGAGACAAGCCAGGGAAGGTGGGGACAGAGGGGAAGGGACAAGTTGAAGAATGGTGTCAGAAACAGACTTAGCCTGACGGTTGGGGAGACTTGTTTGATTCAGAAAGGACTAGGGAGACTTCTCTGAGCTAAGAGGAAAGGAGATGAGGGTAGAGTAAAAAAGTACAACCTGTTTATAGTAATCCACGTAGGTGACCTCAGTGCCGTCCTTCTTCCGAAAGGTGTGTGTGGGCTTCACCGACCAGTCGATGTCATCGATGCGATAAGTTTTGTTATTGTACCTAGGAAATGCAAGGAATCTTTCAACGTTTTCCCCAAATCATGCAAGACAAAGTGGCTGTTTCACTACAGTTATAATTCAAAATATTAGACTCCTAACTTTCAGAAATTACAATAGTAATACACGAATAGTCTTTTTTTTCCCCTAATGATCAGCTTTTATCTGAGAAGAGCATTCATTAACTCTTCAGAATACAGGAAAACCTCCACATTTCAACAAAACTGGTGAGAAAGTCATTAGACCACAATCTTTCTCACTGAGAGACACTCTAACTTCACTATAAATTATTCCTATAAGTTCAAAGGCTGAAGCATTGCTCAAAACTTTCCCATCAGCTTCTGGTGTCATTCAATTTTTTAGCTCCCAGATAGCTGTTCTGATAAAAAGCACCCAAACAGGGGGCAGGCTGGGTTGCTCAATCGGGTAAGGGTCCACCTCTTGATCTCGGCTCAGGTCATGATCTCAGGGTCCTGGGATCGAGCCCCGCATCAGGATCTGTGCTCAGTGGAGAGTCTGCTTGGGGATTCTCTTTCTCCATCTCCCTTTTCCCCACCCTGTCCCACTTCAGCTCTTTCTCTCTTAAATGAATAAATCAATCTAGAAAGGAAGAAAGAAAAGAAAAGGAATGAAAAGAAAAAAAAGAAAGAAAGAAAAGAAAGACACCCAAAAAAGGCTGATGAACCATGCAACCCGAGTACCCCACTTAATCTCCCATCTAGGCCTGACTCTTAGTGGAACTGCCAAGGAGATTGATTAAAATCCTTCTAAACTCTCTCTCCCCAGCAGCTCTGTGTGCTGCCCCAACCCTGGGGCAGAAACCTCCTTGTCAGGTTTCTCTTGGGCTCTTGGTACTTTGCAAGGTTACTCTGGAGCAGTGTGATACACTAATTCGCGATGATCATGACAGGAGGCTAGAAGGACAGGAGGCTAATTCAACCAGTCCCACCTCCCAGCTGTATAACGCAGAAAAACAACATTAAGTGGCAATTCCAAGCCAGATTAGGAGAAGGCTAGCACATCCTCTAAAAGAATGATCTGCGGACTAGCAGCAGTACACGGTGACTTCCTGGTACTCAGGAAGTAACCTAATTTGTGTTTAATTCAGTTCAATTTGCACTGTAGGCAAATTATACATAGAAGAGTCTAGGGACTGGAAAGGTCTCAGCCTTAAAGATCTCATACTCTCCCAGATAAGAGGGGCCGTGGACCTAATATTCTCTCCTGTGATGTGATAAAACAAAATAAAATGGCTATGAAGAGCCGGCTGTGAGCAGTGTGCCACCGGCACAGCACTGGGGAGGGAACGGAGTATTTTAACTGAGTGGCCGGATGAAGGCTGCAGAAAAGCAGTACTGTTGGAGCTGCGTTTTGTCAAGGAGAAAGTCAAAATTCGGGGTTGAAAATCCAGGCAGAGCTACTGAAGCAGACAAATGCAAACTACCGGGGGTGGGGGAGGGGCACAGCAAGCGGTAACGCAGGACCCTGTCCTACGGCAGAGGCTCCCCGGAATGCCACTCCAGGACATCCGAACCCCAGTCAACCCAGCACGGCCACATCTAAATAGGTGGGTAAACTGAACAGATCTCAGGACGCAGCCCTGATGCTATTCCTGTTCCCAGAAGGCAGAAAGAATGCATTCCCTAGGGAAAAGCTTTTTAAACGCAGGCTTTTACCTTGTGAGGACAACGAGCCCAAGCAGCTGTTTTTCACACATCTGGGTAAAGCAGGACATACCAGTTTCCTGGCAGATACCAGCCATGAATTCTAGAACAGTCTCATTCCGGAGTACTTTATAACTCACGTCAGCAGTAAATAGGAGCCTGCTTTCAAACTGTGACACAGAAATAGCAAACCCAGGCCAAAGGGACAACCTTCAAGTAAATAAATATTGAAAAATACATATTTGAAATGTCATATCATGAAACAATCACCATTTTTAAGTGCTGATTTTACATTCCAACTTTCTAGATTTTACGAAACTACTTTCCTTCAGTCTGATTCCTTCTAGTTGCTGATTAAAACATTAGTTATTTCTAGCTGGAGTGCCTTTGAACATACATTTATGAGAATTACATGCCCACAGAGCAGGAGGAATTTACCTTGGCACTACTGACATTTTGGACCGGATCTGTTCTATCCCAGAATGAAAACCTCTGGGTTCAGAAAAGCGCACAGACTCGATGGCGTAGACAGTGTCGAGACCTCACGAGAGTAAGCAATCATCTAGATGGTATCATGTACAAGGACACAAGGGACACTGTAGCAGAGGCTACGGCTCCCATCCACATTTAGGGCTATCACGGACCGAAGTCCTGCCTAAGGAAAACTTAACAGAAATGACATGAAAGAAAGAGCAGATATTTTTTTAAGAACTGCTTCAGTTTATTTTGTGGACTTCCTTCACAGTGCTCCTGAGCCAGCCTTCAGGACAAACATATGTCCTGTGCCAACTCCAGCTCACAAGAGCTTCTTGTCCACGGCAGGGGACCAGTGACAAGGACGGACAGGATGCTTTATACAGACCGCTGTGCCACACTGACTTACCATACAGAAACCCCACCATGTCCCCCCTACCTGGCACAAGGCGAAACAGCCTGCCCCCTCGTTTTCTACCTTTCCCACTCCTTCCTGCGTTTACATATCTGTCTTTGGGTTACCAACTGCCTCTCTGTCTTTAGCTTGACCGCATATCTGGGCGAGCTAACAACCCATTCTAGACGCAGCTGATGACCTAACCTGAAACACCTACTCCCCATTTAGAGCGGAAATTCCAGTTTCATGTAGCTGACTTGTTTGTCTGACCTCTGCTTACCCAATGTCAACTACCCTGGCTGCGCTAACTTCCTGTCGGCAAGAAAACGGCTTCAACTACATGTTGTGACACCGTCCTGCTCACTCTGCCTTCGTTATTACTTGTCACACGCAGAAAACGCAGTTTCTGAATTCCTTCTAGGATTGATGATAACGATCTAGCACTCTAATAGAAGAAAACAGGCTGCTAGCTTCACACTTTCTCCATCCTATAAAAAACTTGAAAATTTTAAAAATCCCTATTTTTCATAACACAGAGTCTCTCACAGGAGGGCATAATGTATCATATTGCGTCGTAAATTACGTTCTTCACATTGTAACAATTTCAGGGTAACAGAAAATATAAATAAACGTACTTGTGCTGGGGAATTTCCACGGGCTCAGAAGGCTTATAGAAGTTCCGTCCAATTTGGTACATGGCCAACTTTTTTAAGATCCTGCAAGTATACATTTTTTTTTTAATCTCTGGTCAACATCAGTTAGTAACAGTACAATTTTAAGTTTGTCCCCACGCTGAATATATGATAAAAATATGTCGGAACTATAGAACTCTCATTCTGGCACTGGAGGGTTTAGATGCTAAATATACCTATGAGTGTATATATAAGAACTATGACTTCTATTTGAGAATGATAACTGAAATTATTTTTGTCTATTTCCACTTAACTGCAACAATAAATATGTGGTCACAATATGACTGTGGTTGTAACATTCTGGTTAGCATGGAGGGGATAAGGCAAGCCATGTTTGAAGGTTTTCTGGCCTCTTCTCTGTTTTGAGATGGGAGACTATTTTTTTGTTGGTTTTTTTTTAAAGATTTTATTTATTTATTTGACAGAGAGATCACAAGCAGGCAGAGAGGCAGGCAGAGAGAGGAGGGGAAGCAGGCTCCCTGCTGAGCAGAGAGCGGGATGCAGGGCTCGATCTCAGGACCCTGAGATCATGACCTGAGCGGAAGGCAGAGGCTTAACCCACTGAGCCACCCAGGTGCCCCTGGGAGGCTGTTTCTAATGAGGCTACATAGCATTGCTGCCTCTTCAGCAACTAAGCCTGGCCACCTCTGGAACAGGACACGTCACCAATCTGAGGCTGCCCATTGCATGGGGGAAGTGTAAGCGTTTCAAGTCAGGAAACAGAGGTTACAACTGCAGGATTTGGGCTATGAAATGTCATTGAGCCTCAGCCTCCAACACTGAATACCATCCAAAGCTATTTAGCAAGATGTCTGACTAGAATTAAGAAATAACATATCTGGGGGTGGGGATGGATTCCTTTTATGTATCCCACCCAGCAAAACCCAAATTCCTCTGTCCAGAGGCCGTTCTTAAGCAAAGCACTGGCGCCAAAGCTTTTTGAACATAACACCTTGTTGGTCCAACCAGGAGCGTGGAAAATACTGGTTTACAAGTCTCTGTGTTCCCACTTGTCATCCAGGAAACGTGCTAAAAATGAGAATTTCAGGCCCCACTCTTGAAATTCTCTTTACCAGTTCAAGTGAGGGGCCAAGAAATCCACGTTTCATGGAGATCCACCCAACAACCCCCGAGATGACCCCCGAGAGGCAAGTGATCCTCACATCACTTAGAAGGGCACTGGACAGTGATGTCACAACCCTCCTTCTGCCCCAGGGGTTCACATGGCAGGGGGCTGAGGGGGAAGGGAGAGCAGAGAGCAGCGGGTGGTGTTGGAGAATAACAAATCTTTCATGACAAACCCAGACATCCCTGATTTTTCAGCCTGGGTGGGAGGGCAGGAGAGGGTACAGACAAAGAAGGGAGAGAAAAGGCAGCCCCACCCCACCCTACCGCACTCCAGCCCTGCCACCACTGAGACCCCACAACCCTTGAGCTCTTTGTCCCAACTCAAAGAGCTCTGGATGATGAGGCGGCAGCCAGAGAGAGGCTGTGAGGGACTGCGGGGCCCATCACCGCACAGCTACACGAAAGCACGAGACTTGTACCGAACGGTGTCGTTAGCCTCAACTCAAGTGCTGTGGGAGGTGCCTCACTTTCTGAAGATGATGCTGAAGACCTGGGTGCACACAGGGGAACTTGCCGGCAGCTCCCCTGTCAGAGTGATAGTCATCTTTACAGTGTTGCCTCTCGAAGTTTCACTGGACAGTTCGGTGACCTGGGAAAAGATGTACTTAATGTGCACGCTAGATCACCCTCAAGTGTGAAGAATCAGAGACAACACAGCGGTCACAATTTAATATGTATTAACAAACGGAGCTGCAGGGGTTAGCATGTAATAATCTAATCACACTGCACTTTCAGGGTTTTCTATCTTGCTAATCCTAGAAAAGCAACACTTCTCACTCCTTTTTTTTTTTTTTAGGATTTTATTTATTAATTTGAGAGAGGGAGAGAGCAAGCACAAGCAGGGGGAACTGCAGGCAGAGGCAGAGGGAGAAGCAGGCTCCCTGCTGAGCAGGGATTTTCCCCACCCAGGGCTGGATTCAAGAACTCCGGGATCACAACCTGAGGCCAAGGCAGGTCGACTGAGCCACCCAGGCATCCCTCTCCTAACTTCTCTTTTTTTTTTTTTTAAGATTTTTTTTATTTATTTGACAGAGAGATCACAAGTAGGCAGAGAGGCAGAGAGAGGGGGAAGCCGGCTCCCCACTGAGCAGAGAGCCCCATGCAGGGATTGATCTCTGAGACCATGACCTGAGCCGAAGGCAGAGGCTTAACCCACTGAGCCACCCAGGCGCCCCACCTCTCTAACTTCTTATTGGAGAATCAAAATCAGACTTAGGATACAGAGACTTGATCCAAAGATAAAGTGTTTCTTGACCTCATTTAGCTGAGGTTGGGGAGCAGGTCACAAGGTACTTCGAGAGTCTGATAAAAGTTATAGGCATTGTCCCATGAAAACTGCACATATGTATATACCGCAACGATGTACCCATTTACAGGTGGTTCACTGACACCCAGAAGCCTATTAGTGGATTGTCCAGCCCACCCTGGGTTCATGGATTCCAGAGGCCTCTCAAAAGTTTATTCATAAACAGAAAAGCAGAGGGGCACCCAAGTGGCTCAGTTGGTTCAGCAACTGACTCTTGATTTTGACTCAGGTCATGATCCCAGGGTCCTGGGAAGGAGCCCTGAGTCGGACTCCATGCTCAGTGGGGAGTCCGCTTGAGGAATCTTTCACCTCTCCCTCTGCCCTTCCCCCCACTTGCACACGGGGGCACGCTCTCTCTCTCTGTGTGTCGCGTAAATAAAATAAATCCTTTTTTAAAAAAACAGAAAAGCAGAAAAGAAAGGTAAGGAGAGGGAATTTGCAAGAGGGCAAGTAAACATGGTGAATAAATCAGCAGACATTAAAACACACAGGGAATCTACTAACTTTTGAAAGGTCTAGAGAAATTTGTATGTTTCTTATAATCGGAAACAATGTTCTAACAATAGAACAATTGCATGAACAGGTTTCTATACCAGCTACCCAACGAAATATGAAGTTTCCCAGACCAGACAGGACTTGGTACAGGCTTTTGGAATAAAAGAGTGATCAAATCAGACAATAAAAATCGATGACCAAGGACTTTTCAGGAAGGTAAGGAATCAGAAGAGGCCAGTACATTAGCCAGTATTTTATCCCTACTTTCTGTAGCTACAGTGTACTCGTAATCGCTTTCAGGCTGAACCAGAAATGTAGGGGAGGAATGGCTCATTGCATGGACATAGACAGACGGGTCCTTCCACGGGGGGTGAGTATTCCACTAAGGTGATTTCTTACTCAACTTGTGAGAAGTCAGAGGTGGAGAGCTGTAAGAAGAGCTTGTCAACACCTGGGAGAAGTCTAGCAGGCAAAAGAGGTGAGATGCTTTCAAACCGCTGTGGGGATTTCAGGACAAAGGCTACAGACAACAAAGGACATTGGGCTGAGGGGCTGGCAGGCAGGTGGCAGCAGAGGTCCCCCCTCACACTGCCCTCCAGGAACTGCATTCCTAAGAGCCATCTAAGCAAACTCTCTGTGCTCCCTGCACCTCCCCCGCCAGACGCCAACTGCTCTTGGGTTCCTGTGTTTGTTCTTGCCCACAACCCCCAGGCTTCCCGTCCCAGGCTGCGTCAGAGTGTGCTTTCACTTCTCAACCCAGCAGCCACCTCATGGTCATCTGGTTGGCAGGACTTAGCACTTCTACACCAACAATGTCTTTCTTCTGTTTCCGCTGCTCCAGTTACTTACCACAGGGCTTAGGAGGACATGACTGGGAATTGGACAAACCCACGTCCTCCGCCTCTTGCAGCTCCCCGTGTGACACGGAGCAAGCCACTTCAATTCCTTAAGACCTTTCCCCATCTCTAAAATAGGAGGAAGTCTCGCCTAAGTCCCAGTGTTGTGAAGATTAAATGGGATAATTCACTGATCTCATCTTTATCCCACAGCACACGCATGCAGGAAGGTTAAATAAATTGCAGGGCTCTGTCCCTTGGTTCAAGCCCCTTTGACTCCTGCCCAGATGACTCCAGTGGCTCTTTATTAATCTTTCCATTTTCCCCTGTCAACCGTCCAGCAGGATGTGATCAGAGTAAATGTAATCTAGCAGAGATCTCATGGAAGCACTCTCTCTGAGGCTTCAGTGCTCCATGGAGGATGGTCCCTATCCCTCAGCAGGACATTTAAGATTTTCCCTACCTTTGGAGCCACAACTTCATTCCTTCCTAGCTAAACCTGAACAATCAGAAGTTTCTAAAATATGCCCCCCACCCCAGCCTTCTATCACTGTGCCTTTGCTCCTCCCTGTCCTCTTGTCTGGAGATCCCTCCTCTCCCCGTCATCCCCTTCACTGACCCAAATCCCACCCCAGGAGCCAGTATCAGCTCCCACTGAAGTATCCTGCTGGTCAGGGTCTTGCCTTTAGTCAAGCTCTGTATGAAGACCTTGGACGAGATACTTAACCTCTAAGGCTGGAGGGGTGTTAAGAGGATTAAGTGAGAGCCTGGAAGAGCAGGTACTCGAGAAATGTCATCTTGTACCATATTCATTTGTAAATAACCTCGCACTGTATTTGGTCGTCAATAACTTTCCTACTGAGCAGAAAAGATTTGACACAAGCCGTGTTTTATCTGTCGTTGCTCCTTCAATGATGCCAGCACCTTGAAATCACACCGCAGGCTCTCTGTAAGGGCAGAATGAATGCTAGGAGTGGCAGCTAGATATGACCAGTGAAAGCAGACCACATGGTGGCCACAGATACACCGATGGGATCTGCAAGACAGTGGAAGGCCAGGAAGGAGCAGACTAGGACTTCTAGAACCGCACTCTGGGGGCAGTGATGAACGCATGAGTGCAGGGTCTCTCTCAACAAAAACACGGATCCTACAAAGTGTGCAGAGGACGGACGGGAGTGCAAGATTAAGCCTGAGTCACTGTGAAGACCAGAATAAAAAGGTGAGCACAGTAACATGTTTGTTGTGACACTATTTCTATTATTTCTATCTCACCATCACTGGGTAGGCAGGCCATAGGGTGATAAGATATAAAACAATACTTTTTTGTTGAAACCTGGGAAATAAAGTCAACAACCCTGATTTGTCTCACAACTTTTTTTTTTTTTTTAAGATTGATTTATTTATTTGAGAGAGAGAGAGAGAACGCACAGAAAAAGAGGCAGGTTCTCTGCTGAGCAGGAGCTCGATCCAGGCACTCTGGGATCATGACCTGAGCCAAAGGCAGACACTTAACTCACTGAGCCACCCAAGTGACCCACGATCTAACCATATTTTTACACTCTCTTTACTCACCTGCCTCTTCATTAGATACCATCCCTAAGGTGCATACTGCATGCTCATTTTGAATGAGAAACAAATAATATGTTTATTCTGAGCATCTGTAGAGTAAAATTTCTCCATTTTGGTTAGGTACAATCGAAGAAAGCTGGACCACTCATGGTGTGTGTGGGGGGCGTATAATATTAACATATTTAATTCACTGTTACTGCAGATGTATCAACAAGAACAAGATAATCCTTAATGATAACAATACACTCTAAATACAGCATTTAAGTACGAGAGACACCATACTAGCATGCTATCGATGTCTGGTCATAGGACAAAACCCTGAAGGATCAATAAGGACCTACGACGAATTAAAATGTTTCTAAATTTACAGATCCAGATTTTCCAAGCCTCTAAATTTTAAGCCTATGGTATGATTTTTTAATTCCATATCCAGACAAAATAATCACTCAAGCAGCTCGTATAAATCTTAGACTTTCATAAAAAGATAAAGGCCCCAAGAGTGCTCAGAAATGCATTTCTTGAGGAAATTCGCAGAGATTTATATGGAGTCTAGAAATTTAAGTTTATGCCTTGGTATACCATCCTGTCCAAAATGTTGAACTAAAGGATTAAGATTTCTCAGGGATAGAAACATAAAGTTTTAATTTGATGCTCTACTTTAATTTTTTATAAAGACACTGATTCTTTTTTCTTTGTAGTAATTTAAAACTGCCTTAGAACATATATGATAAAAGCATCAAAAACAGTATATTTTAGGACTGAAAATGCTGAATGTACAAAAACATGGATAAAGGAATATGAATCATGCGACCGCCATATCCAGTGATCACACCATTAAAAAAATCCTTAGAATTGATATCAATAGCTCATACTTCATATGATGAAAGAAATGACAGCTTTCAAATTAGAGATTGATATAAAGTTATTTAGGCACACAGGTACAACTGTGCAGGAGCAAAAGAACAAATTTAAGGCTCTGAAGCCATAGGCTAAATGGTGTTTGTTGAAGTCTTGCCTATTTGGGGAAAAGTTTAAAAAGGAGGCCTATTTCAAGGACACTTTGCAAAAAAAAAAAAAAAAATCGCAGTAGTTAAAAAGGCAGTGTTTGTAATACAGCTCTTATTTTTTAAATGCCACATCATCAGCTTCTTAATTAAGAAAGCAATTACTGATGAGATCTTAATTAGGAAGTCTTTTTGCTCTCAGGCATCTCAGGACAGAGTAAAGGAGTGAGACACTCATTCCAACCGTAATGACAATTGACTAACCTCTTAACTATACTCGGGTGAGTGTAAGTATATACATGTGTGTAGGTGTAAAAAGTAACCATACTGTACCTTTGCTTCCAGCTTTTGTGAAAGGAAAAGGATGGCGCCATCAAATGCTTTTGCTTTGTTGGAAAGTGCCTTATGACTGTAAAGCAAAGCGATTCTCAGCCTTCTAGATTCTATATCTGGAACATAGGCCACATGATACTGGTAGAGCTGCCAGTCCAGGGGCAGATCTAAACTAAAGAGATTTGCGACCAGTTTTACAGGTACTCCACTGGAACCTGAGAAGAGAAAGAAAAAACTTTTTTTTTCACCAAAATAAAATCACACCTTGATAATATTAATCATACCATTTAAGATTGATCGTGTGATCATGTGTAAAGCAGGCCTCGTAAGAACCTAAGAGAAGATACTGACATTCTTGTCATAGGATTTCTTCCAGAGCCTGCCTTCCAGCTCTGCATCTGTGCAACGCAAATTGGCTCGAGCAGTATTTTCAGATGCTGCTCTGAAATGATGCTGCTCTTACATTATAAAGACACTGTCCAGTTCTTACCATAAGCACAACCCCCAACCCCTTGGAAATCGAGACAATCAAAAGTTACCCATCCTTCTGACAATTCTGAAATAGTTCAATCGGGGAAAAGCAGAAGGCCCTCAGAGATTGAGGGGAGAACGGGGGAAGGAAAGAAATTACATATCTTTTATGCATGAAAACAGACAAGGCCTCTGGGCTTCTTTTCTGCAGACATGGGTAAGCTTCCAGAAATTCCAGCCCCTACAGAATTTTTTATTCAACTCTTCAAAGTGTATCAGACAAATTCAGAGATGGCCTCATTATAGTTGTTGTTCAGTGCTCAAGATGGCATCAGCTCCCTCTAGGACGGAATCTAGGAGGGCACAAGGGAGGTACTTCGGATTTCTCCTTGTAGGGAATCATCCAGTGTTTGTCTTATGGAAAGGAATTCTATTAGATGTGCACTATTTTGCTTCCTTTCATGAAGGAAGTGGAAACATGAGCCCCCAAGGTGGTAAAGAAAAAGAGCACCATGTGTGCGTTGGTATTTCCTCAGTTTCTATGTACTGTAGATATCTGTTAGGAGCAAGTGATTCTTGTGCTATTTTAATTAAAGAAAAGCTTTCTTTTGTTCTCCTATATCCTGGGACAAAGAGGAGTCATCCTAGAATGTCAGATCTGGCAAGACCCTTGGATATTACCTACACCAGTGTTTGTACACTGTAATTATGACCCATTAGAGCTCAAGTTATGACAACATATGACATGACCCAACACATTTTATGAAATGACTAGAATGCAACAGAATTGACCAGAGTGCCTTGTATATAGTAAGGGCAAACATTCTTTCATGAAACTTGGCTCCCATTTTTTGTGGTAGTGTGTGTATGCTAGGTAACAATGTATCTACTCCTTAATTTTTTGCATGGTTGTAAAAAGCTTGAAGAAAACTGATCTGCATCAGGGAGTCTTTCCCAACTTTTGGGAGGGTGTCACAAAGCCTTTCAAGAATCTAATGAAAACACCTAACTTCCTGAAGATGCATAGGCCCATAATTCTGGGTGTAATTTCAGGGATGACTTTGAAAAATGGTTAAAAATTCCAAAAACTGACTAGATCTTTCTTTTTACAACTGAAGTCCAGAGACGTTATTGTTTCCCATAGAAAACTGTTGGAAAAGAAACAGAGCCTATCCTTCAACCCCTACCCCAAGTGTAAGGAGAAAATCTTTTCAAAAAGTGACATGTTTAGAAGAAATATTCTTACTTCTATTAATAAAGGAAAGAATTAAGGCTAAAACAACTAATGTCTAAATAATGTTTTAAATATAACAGACACTCAATAAATGTCTTTTAAGTCAATATATAAACTTGCTTATTTTAGATCTAGAAATTAAAATTCCTTAGGCATGATTTGGTAACATTTAAAAAGTAAGTAACACGATTACTCCATACCTCTTTTGCAATCTCTCACATGGGCCAATTTCTCTCTGGTACAGACACTCAGATCCTTGAAGTCCTGTCTGATTTTCCCACCTCTTTCAGTGAAAGTACATCCAGTATCACCGGAAGATACAACGTCTTGACCTAAAATGTGAAGAGAATGCCATGACATCTCATGTTTCATTCTAGTGATGCTGTTTACAACTACTATGTCAAAACTGAGTCTCTAACCGAAGCTCAGACTTTTGTGGCTTTAATGAAAACCAACCCACACTGCTGAAAATAATCGTGACTATGTAGAAGTCTTCAGCCTAAAACCTGAAAACCGTAAAGTAAGCGTCATATGTGTTGTTAGAAAGAACATACCACAAGTTAATTCTACCTCATAATGTTTAGGTCTAGTCTGATTCTCCTCTTTGTTAAGGAGAAAAAGGCCCATCCCCTATGCCCTCCTGCACACACAGGTGTGGAGGGCAGCTGTCTCTCCTTCAGCTCTTGCATAACCCTCTGAACACTCACAGACAAAGACTGTCCACACCAACTTCTTTACAGATTGGGGCTGAATATGTTACGTCTCTCAGTCATGAGAAAAGAACTCCGAGAACACTGCTGTCAGTTTTTATGCTAGTTCATTTCTTCAAAAATGAAAGCCAGCATTTCACCTTAGGGCATGTTACTTACTGTTAGGTTCTGGCAAATATGAAAGGAAAATCTGTTCCCAAATGAACATTTTCTCTTTAAACAAGTACAGAGATGTTGTTTGTTGGGGTATGACGTGGCATAATGTGAAAGGAAGATAATGTGAAAATAGGAAAGTACAGAGTATTACTACAAAGCAATCGTAGTAGTAGTATTACTCTGAAGTAATAGTATGACCAATCTCTAGGACTCTGACTACCCTTTGATACAGCCACTGCAACCCCCTCAAATGACACTATCCCTGGCTCAAAACCACTGCTCATACCCTTTTTGTGGAGTCTGAGTTGCCCAGGAAAATCACATTTATTTAATTTCTTAAAATGTTTTAAAAATTGGGGCGCCTGGGTGGTTCAGTGGGTTAAAGCCTCTGCCTTCGGCTCAGGTCATGATCCCAGGGTTCTGGGATCGAGCCCCACATCGGGCTCTCTGCTCAGCAGGGAGTCTGCTTCCTCCTCTCTCTTTGCCTGCCTCTCTGCCTACTTGCGATCTCTATCTGTCAAATAAATAAATAAAATCTTTAAAATGTTTAAAAATTATTCTTACTAGATTATTCATATCACTCACTGCTCTTGATTTCAAAATGTTAGGTGGTTTATAAAAAATCAATCTGCCATAAGATGGTAGTTACCAGAGGGTGCCTGGTGGCTCAGTTATTAAGCGTCTGCTTCCGGCTCAGGTCATGATCCCAGGATCCTGGGACCGAGCCCCACATTGGGCTCCCTGCTCAGTGGAGAGCCTGCTTCTCCCTATCCCTCTGCCCCTCCCACTGCTCGTGCTCTCTCTAGCTGGCTCTTTCTCAAATAAACAAATAAAATCTTAAAAAAAGAGAGAGAGAGAGAGAGATGGTAGCTGCCAGGGGTTCGAGGGAGGACAGAATGGGGAGTTAATTTTTAATGAGTACCAGGTTTCAGTTTTGTAAGATAAAAAAGTCCTAGAGGGGCACCTGGGTGGCTCAGTGGGTTAAGCCGCTGCCTTTGGCTCAGGTCGTGATTTCAGGATCCTGGGATCGAGTCCCGCATCGGGCTCTCTGCTCAGCAGGGAGCCTGCTTCCCCCTCTCTCTCTGCCTGCCTCTCTGCCTACTTGTGATCTCTCTCTGCCAAATAAATAAATAAAATCTTAAAAAAAAAAAAAGTCCTAGAGATGATGGTGGTGATGGCTGCACAATGATGTGAGTGTCCTTAATGCCAAAGGAGTATGCAACTGAAAATGGCTGAAATGCAAAATTTTACATTCTGTATATTTTGCCACGATTTTTAAAAATAATCAAATAAAAAATTCTATGTCTGAGCCTTGCCAGTCACAAGAATGTGCATCAGGAGTGGAAAGGAAGTCCCAAGAGCAGCTGGGCAGTGGATGGCATGACCTGATGCCCCCCAGGGCAGGTGTTCTGTGTGACCAAGTGCACTTCCTCGAGCTCAGAGCACAGAGGCTACTTGCACGAGCTAGAAAATCCCTGGTGGAGAATAGACAGCCAAGCAGATGATGGTGGAGAGACTGATGATCCACAGGGTCTGGGAGACCCTAAGTGCTTAGAACTAACATCACTTAACTTCATAGTCCGAGCAAGGGAGACAGCTAACAGGTTTCAGCCATGGCTACTGGGTGAATTATGTGTCCCCCAAATTTACGTGTTGAAGATCTAAACCCTCGTATCTCAGAATGTGACTGTATTTGAGACAGAGTATTTAGTAAGGTAATTAAGCTAAAATAATGTCATTAGCATGAGCCCTAATGCAACATGACTGTGTCCTTATAAGAAGAGATAAAGTCACAGACAAATACAGAGGGAAGACCGTGTGAAGACACAGGGAGAAGACAGCCCTCTACGAGCCCTGGAGAGAGGCCTCAGAAGAAACCAACTCTGTGGACACCTTGATCTTGGACTTCCAGCCTTTAGAATTATGAAACACCACACTTCTATCATTTAAGCCCCCAAGTCTACAGCACTTTGTCATGAGAGCCCTAGCAAACCAGGGTACGGGGCATGCCAACCCACACCAGAATAGTGGCAACTTGCAGTAGCCAGTGGACAAGTACCCTGAGTCCCAGTCTGGATTTGCAGTGAAGACAGCTACCATCAAATGGTGGGAAAAAAGAGGAGAGCATAGTAGCTGGAGTGGTAGGTGGTAGGCACAGACACTTCTATGTGATAAAGAACTTCTGAACATTATTCAGAATTATTCAATGAACAGAAAAAACCAGAAAACTGGATTCTTGGCACCTGTGGATGCCCAAATGCCAAGAAGTATCAGGAAATTCAGTGGTAGACTGTGTTTTGGGGTCCCAAAGAAACCAAACACACACAGGGGGTCCTCTGAGAAGAGGTAAATGGGATGCCAGAGAAGTGAGTGGGCTGCTGTAAAGCCTAGCAATCATTCCGGTTCCATTCAGATGGGATGGGATGGGATGGGATGGGATGGGATGCAGGGGAGGGCAGATCAAGCTGCACTTACAACTCTGGGACATCCTGCTTGTTCCCACGAAGCTACTGGTAGAAGATGCTTCATTGTTGCCAGTATCAACAGATGTAGGCTAAAATGGGGGGTGGGGTGGAGAAAAGCTTGGTTAGATTTAAGATGTTAAGTCATAAACCAAAAAGTTATCACAAAATAAGAAGCATATCATGTCCTAAGTCTTCAATAACTAATGTTAACGAATGTCAGCTAATGTAAACTAATGGCCCTAAAATGCTAGAGATGATGAGAAGAGACTGTTCATTCTAGAAAAAAAGGATAAGGACAAGCTATAGTTTTTCCCATTTATCAAACTTTAGTTTTGACTGTGAGCCAGATAGAAGGTATAAGGAGGCAGAGCTGTGATTCTCATGCCCAGGGAGCTCATCAGAGGGAAGGTGGCAGAGATGAACACGGACCTCATGCTTCCACTGCCTCCAGGCGGGAGGCCTCCGATGTAAACACATTTAAAGCAAGAAAACAATTTGAGCCCAGAGGACCTGGGTCACCAGGTCAGGTGATGACTCTTTTGAATAAATGGGCTCCAAATTTGTTTATGAAATAGGCCAAGGGAACCACTGATATTTCCTCTTTTCACAGTAACTACTTCTGTTCACTCAAGAAGTATATGTTGGCGAGCTAAGAAATGCATGAAGTCAGGGGAAAACAATGACATGAAAGTAAAGGCACAACGAGCACACTTGAGAACTTCTGGTCTAAAAGACTGCTCCAAATACTGATAGGTCGGGGTAATATCCCTCAAAAGTTGCTGATTCGCCGGCCAATTTAATCTAATCTTGCCTAAATGTAACCAAGAACCCTACCCACGCTGGTTGGTCAAGAAGCAGCGACTGAATCTAAACCACATCTGTGTCTGAGATTACTTACGCAGGCGTAGGAATTAGAAAGACAAATCATACTAGCTCATATGCCCTACAGTGGTACAACAGTTTTTACCAAGAGACTTAAAACTGAGTTAAGTAATTAAACTCTCAGAAAGCAGAAGGAATGAGGCACTTGCCTCCAATCTCCAGTACTCTTCACCGGCCAAAAACATCTACATGACTATCTTACCGGGATAAGCACCCCACCCCCCGGGAAGGGAAAAATATGAGAAACTCTGGAAAGACCCGAAGTCCAGCGGGAAGAAGATACCCTGCAGAGTTGTGGAGGTAAAAGGAGAGGAAGGCGGTGTGCATGAAGGCCACCGAGGAGGAGAGCGCGAGGCCCTGTCGGCCACGAGTCCTACACACCGATGGTGATGGCGACCGTGACCGTGACGGCGGGGCACAGGTGCGACCGGCTTCCGCGGCGCTGGGGCTGCGGGCCAGGCCTCTGGCCCTCACGCGGGCGCGGCCACTCATATTCCCGACGAGAGCAGGGGTACTCTCCAGGCAGCAAGGTCTCAAGAAGAGTATTTTCCCCTCCGAGTCCAGAGGACGAGGCAGTGACTCTAGGTGGCGGTCGCGGCGAGTCTCCGACTCCGAGGGCAGGAGACACGGCGGAGGCCCACGCGTGGGTGGAGGGGCGCGCACCGCCTGCCGCGATCCCTCCTGCTCCGGGGAGCACGTGACCGGGGCGAGGCGGAGCCCCGACTTCCCTTGAGTCGCCATCCCCCACCCCCTCCAAATTTGGTATCTTCCAACACACTGGGTTTTGCCCACGTTATGTCTGTAAGGTTGCATCAGACTCACTTTACTCCGGTGGTCTTCTCTGCTCACTCGTGTGGCCAAGCACCTCTTCTGTGCGTAATAGCTACAGAGCTTTCCATTCTCTGAACTGTTACTTCTGTTGCTATTTTAAGAATTGGGTTTCTCGTGTTTTTCTTTTGATTTGCAAGAAATTTTATCCTTTTTTAACATTGTAAATATCTACTCCCAATCTATCCCCTGTTATTTTTTTTTTATTTAAAGATTTTATTTATTTATTTGACAGACAGAGATCACAAGCAGGCAGAGAGGCAGGCAGAGAGAGGTGGGCGAGGGGGTGGTGAGCAGGTTCTCTGCTGAGCAGAGAGCCAGATGCGGGGCTCGATCCAGGATCCTGGGATCATGACCCAAGCGGAAGGCAGCGGCTTTAACCCACTGAGCCACCCGGGCGCCCCTCCCCTGTTATTTTTTAACTAGGAAGTCTTTTATCTAACCCAAATCCTTAATTTTGGTGTAGTCAAACCTACATGGCTTGTACTTTGGGGGTCTTTTCAAAAGAACGTTTACCTGGCCCTAAGTTTACAAGGACATTATATGATATTTTATTTTATTGACTTTATAAATTTACTGTTCACATATTATCTTTTATCCTTCAGGAGTATGTGTATATATATATATATATATATATATATATATATATATATATATATATGTAAACTCAACTTTAGAAGGTGTTTTCCTCTTCTCAGACAAGAAAAGATAGTTATGAGCCCCAGTAACTGTGTCCACACATGAAAAGGGCTGCTGGTAAGAACAGTGTGTTGACTGAGGCATTCAAATCATATTAGCACCTTCACAGGTATGGGCAAGGGTGAGGAATTCACTTCACAAGCCCCTACAGAGTGAGGCTCTTTAAAGATTGTATTTATTTATTTTATTTTAAAGAGAGAGAGAGCAGGGGGAAGGACAGAGGGAGGAGGGAGAAAATTTCAAGCTGGCTCCACGATGAGTGCAGAGCCTGACTCTGGGTTCAATCTCATAATCCTGAGATCATGACCTAAGCTGAAACTAAGAGTTGGTCACTTAACTGAGCCACCCAGGTACCCCCAGAGTGAGGGTCTTTAAACCCTGTAGCAGTTTTTCAATAATTGTACAGATGCTCTGATTCTCTTCCTCTCAAAAGGCCAAGCCTAATTCCCTCCCATTAAGCATGGGCTTCTCTTAGTGACTTTCTTCTAACAAATAGAATGTGACAGAGATGATGGTTGTGTCTTCTGTGAGTAGGTCATGGAAGACACACTGTAGCTTCCTCCTTGCTCTGTCTCTCTTAAATCACTTGCTCTGGGGGCTGTCAGCAGCCATAGCATGAAGACACTCAAGCAACCTTAGAAGGAGATTTATAGGGTGAGAACCGGAGGCCTCATGTCAGCAACCAGCACAACTTGCCAGAAAAATGAATCTCATCAAACTTCTCGTCAGAAACCAAGCAAGCTAGAAGACAAAAGAGTCACAGTTTCTGAAGTGTTCAAAGAAGAAAAACATCAACTCAGAATTCTAAAGCCAGCAAATATACCTTCAAAATGAGGGTGAAATAAAGGCTTTCTCAGAGAAACAGAATTCAGAGTCAGCGGATCTATACAATAAAAAATGTAGAAGGAAATTCTTTAAGCTAAAGAAATATGAGAGTGTAGAGAAACTTGGATCTATATAAAGACATGAAGAGTGCAGCAATAAATAAATGTAAAATAAAATATCTTTTTTTTGCATTTTTACTTTCTCTAAAAGATAACAATCCAAAGCCAAAAATAGTAGCAATGTGTTGTTACATATATATATGTATATGTATATACATATATATATAATTACATATAGCATGTGTAAAAATAAAATGTATGCCAAAAGCCAAGGATGGGAGGACTTGAGAATACATTATTATAAGGTAACACTATTCAGGAAGCACTATAACAGTATTTGAAGGTGGACTCTAATTAGTTATTGATATATTAGTAAACCTTAGGGTATACAATAAAGAATTATAAGGATAATTATAAATACATAATAAGTCAATTAAAGAAAAAAAAAAAAAACCAAAAAAAAATTAAAAAAAACCGAGAAAAAAAAAAAAAAAAAAAAAAAAAAAAGATGGAATAGAAAACACCTAGCCATATGGTAGATTTTGATCCAACTGTATCAATAATTATACTAAATATAAGTGATCTAAATGTGGCAATTAAAAGACAAGCTATATGCTGTCTACATAAAAACCTGTTTTAAATATCACACATAGGTTAAAAGAATGGAAAAAAGATATGCCATGTAAATCCTACCTAAAAGAAAAATGGAGTACCTGTACTACTATCTGTTGTGGGTGAATCAAGTCCCCCATATTCATATGTTGACATCCTACTCCTAAGTACCTTAGAATGTGATCTGATTTAAAGATTAGTTCTTTATGGAGGTAATCATGGCAAAGTGAGGTCATTGTGGTAGGGCCTACTCCAGTATGACTGGGGTCCTTGTAAAAAGGGAAAAGTTACACAGAGACACGTAAAGAGAAAGGTGATGTGGAGAGACAGAAGGAGAAGGTGGGTATCTACAAGCCAACGAGAGATCCTGGACCAGATCCTTCCCTTACAGCCCTTAGAAGGAACCAACCCTGGCCCACACCTTGACTTTGGACTTCTATCCTCCAGAGCTGTGGTACTTTATTACAGTAGCCCTAGCAAACTTGTATACTGTTAGACACAGTAGACTTTGAAAAAATGAATATTATCAGGGATGAAAAGGGAAAACTTAAAATGACATTAAGAACATTCAACAACAACAGAGTGTAGTTCTTTTTAAGTGTATCTGGGACATTAACCAAGAGGACCATATGCTGAGCTATAAAACAAACTTTAAAGGATTAAAAAAATAGAAATCCTACAACATATATTCTGTGACCAATGTAAGATCCAATTAGAAAATGAAAACTGAAATATTTCCCAAAGATTCCATGTATTGAGAAATTTTATACACACTTGTAAATAATCCCTGGGTCAAAGAGGAAGTTTCAAAAGAATCTCTTTTTAATGATCTTATTTATTTATTTGAGAGAGAGGGAGTGTGTGCATGAGTCAGGGGGAGGGCAGAAGCAGACTCCCTACTGAGCAGGGAGCCTGATGTGGGGCTCCATCTCAGAACCCTGAGATCATGACCTGAGCCGAAAGCAGATGCTTAACTGAATGAGCCACCCAGATGCCTCAAGAATTTTTTAATTAGGACCAACTTAAACATATGCAAATTTGGGGGATATAGCTAAAGGAGTGTTTAGAGAAAAATTCATAGCATTAAACACTTTTTTAAAAGAGAAAGTTATCAAATCAGTAGTCTAAAAACTTCCATCTTAGGAATCTAGAAAAAGAACAAAGTACACTCAAAGCAAGATGAAAGGGAATAATGAGGATGAAAGCAGAAATAGACACACACAAATACAATAAATGGATATTTGTCAAAATTTAAAGACAACTCAATGAAGAAAGGATCATTTTTTTCAACGAATGGTGCTGGAATGATTTGTTATTTGCAAACAAGGGAAAATCTACCCATACCTCACACTTTGTATAAAAATTAATTCAAAATGAATGTAGACTTAAATGTAAAATGTGCAACTATGAAACTGCCAGAAATTAGGTATAGAAGAAAGTATTTAAGATCTTTGATTAGACAAAGTTCTTATATGCACTACAAAAAGTACTAACTATGTAAGAACAAAATGATTTATTTGACTTTAACAAAACTATACACTTGCTCTGTGTAAGGTGCTATAAGGACAATGAAAAGGCAAGCAAGAAACTGAAAGGAAATACATGTAAATCACATTTTGATAAGGACTTTTTCCCAGAAGATATATAAAATTCTCAAAATTGAACAGTAAGAAAAACAATTTTTAAAATGGGCTAGGGATGCTTGGGTGGCTCAGTGGGTTAAGCATCTGCCTTCAGCTCAAGTCTTGATCCCAGCGTCCTGGGATCAAGTCTCACATCAGGCTCTTTGCTCAGGGAAGAGCCTGCTTCTCCCTCTGCCCCTCCTCCCCACTCATGTGCTCTCTCTGACAAACAAATAACCTTTAAATTAATTAACTAATTAAACAGAACTTAATTAATTAATTAATTTCATTAAATAAAAATTAAAATGGGCAAAAGACCTGAATAGACGCTTCACCAAAGAGGTAAAAACATCACCAAAAAAATATGTGGGAGGCAACACATCATACCCAAAATACTCAGTGTCATTAGCTATAAGGGAAGTGCAAATTAAAACCATGGTGTGATCCTTTTACACACCTAGTACAGTATCTAAAACAAAACAAAACACCCCCCAAAGCCAACAGTGCCAAATGCTGGCAATACATGTAGCAACTGGAACTCTCGTGTATGTTGGTGTGAGTGTAAAATGATACAACCACTTCGGAAAACAGTTTGGCAGGGTCACATAGATTTAAACGTGTACTCACACTATAACCTAGCAACCCCACTCTCACTGATCTAAGAGAACTGAACACTCAGATTCACGTAAGTTGTTGTTCTTATAGCTGTATTAGTTATCATCAGCAACTGGGAGTGGTCCAGGACAAGTGGTCCCACTTGTCCTTCAACAGGTGAATGGACAAGCAAACTGTGTTACAGCTATTACTCAGCAGTGAAAGGAATGAAATACTGATGGTCACAACAACATGAATGAATCTCATTTGAGATTCATTCAACATGTT